CATAGGAATTCTACATACTGCAGGGAAGCACTTTTCACACACAGTATCTCATGATGAAGAAGTGACATTTGTCACGGAAAACATGGTGGCAACCCAAAGTGGCACCATTAAAAAACCAAAAGGGTTGTTAAACTTGACCTTCCCAGCAAGTGATCTGTCATAAAAGAGTTGACCAACACATACAAAATAAATTAATGCCCAAATGACCATCGGCTTTTTCAGTATATGTTCAACCATGATTATCTATAATATTGATTTGCCTTATTTGCGTTGTCATTAATTTACTTAAACCCAGATGAATAGGAAATTTGCAGTTTCTTCATTCTGTGTGATCCACAACTGAACTTTACAACATTTCAGTTGGATACTAAAATAACACTATACATGTTTGTGTTTCTGAACCCATAGTGTTAAAACCACAACTTAGCCCCCCCTGGCCTCCCTAAATATAGTAAAATCTCACTTGTATTCAAGTCTGCAGCTGCTGCCTTTGCCCGTGATATGCCTGATTGACTAACATCATCAGAAGTGATACTGTTTCTCCGTAGGATTGGCTAAGACTGTCAAGGAGCAGATCAGGGTCAGAGCCAGCACAAGCCAAACACAGCACTGGCAAACCAGCATCTCCTCATAGAGATGCATTGAATCAATGCATCTCTATGAGACAAGTTCAGTGTCTTCATGCAGAGGGTGTAGACTATTGGCAGTGCTGCACACTGTGCAGCACTGCCCCCGGAAGAACCTCTTGTAGCCATCTGTGGAGTTGCCAGTGGAGTTATCACTAGGCTGTAATGTAAACACTGAATTTTCTCTGAAAAGACAGTGTTTGCTGCATAAAGCCTGAAGGGAATAATTCTACTCACCATAACAAATACAATGAGCTGTAGTTGTTCTGGTGACTTTAGTTTCCCTTTAAAGGAACACTCAACACATAAACTACTTTAGCGTCACATGAGATGAATGTTTACAAAAAGTTCAGATCCCAATACAAATAGCTGTATGTGACAGTTAAAAAATAGTCTGTAGAGGGTCACTTTGACCCCCACATTAGCACAATGGAGGTTTATACTTCAATTAAGTTGGAGCTTCAATTTAAAGACCAGAAAGTGGACAGATGGGGTCTTAAATTATTAAACAGTAGGGGACCTAAAGTGGGGGCTATAACTTTGATAATGGAAAGAAACCTAATATTCCTTGGAGCCCCTGACCATGGGCAGTAGGTTGGTTCTAATATAGTTAATGTAGGGGGCATGTGGGGTAAAATAAAACTAGGAAACTGCATATTTTAGACCTTAATAGTCAAACTGGAAAAATAGCTGAGTTGTACACATTAGTTCCAGCTTGGCTATTTAGGCCTAAAATTTACAATTCACATTTCAAACCCCAGTTAAATAATCGAAATCTAATTCTCATATGATTCCTCGTACACTCTTAAATATGTGCAGATGTGCTGGGATTTGCAGTGAACGGATATCCCATTGCCGTTGGTAGAGAGCCAGATTGCGAGCACAATATGTAGCAATTCACAGTTTAGGGTTGTTCGCTAAGGGGTTTATTTATTACTCTCCAAATTGTAAGGAATTGAGACCCAAATGACAAAACTGCTGATCTGGTAAAATAAGTCAGCGTTTACAGATCTACATTTAGTTGAAAGAGAAAAAATATTGAAAACCGAATGTCATTTTAATTGCATGCTGTTGGTTTGGTGTTTGACATTTAATGTACAGTACCATCATTTCACAAGATTTTTTTTAGGAAGGTATGGGTCTATTATAGCAATTTTCCTGTAAGCTTTAATGGAGGAAGTGTCATTCAGTAAGTTGTTGCCTTGTATATTTGGTTTCAAAGAATTGTAATTTGTCCGAATTTTGCTCAGATTGTCCAAATTATGTAACTCCAATGCACCATAAGGATGTATAACAAAAATAAATTATACAGACAATGGCTGAATATGTCTGTTTGCTTTGTGAGTTGGTGTTTTGTCCATGGCGCCAAAACAAGATGAATGATGATTAAGGGACAGCAACTAATTAAATAAATAATGAAATAAATCCTTTTTTTTTTTAAAGCAATAAAGAAATAAAGCAGAGACCAGCTGAAATAAACACTTAGCAACTGAATGTTTAAAAACAATCAAGCAAAAATCGCCACACGTTCTGCACACAGCCAAAACCCTCATGCCTCACTTGCGACAGCTGAAAGAGGGAATGGAGGGGTAAACTACTGACTGAGAGGGTAAAATATTGAGGGGTATACTAAAATTGCGAATATTGACCGAATGTGTACCGATATTGAACAGTAAAATACCATTATATTAGAATTGGAAGTCCGTCCACGAAATTTCAACCGGAATTAGCTTCATTAAAAAGGTTAAAAATGAGCCTATCACAGTATTGCAATATATGCTTTTAAATATTATGTATAAATTTTGCTAAAATTATAGGCTCATTTTTCACGCCCTTTTGGTTTCTAGAAAAGGTTTTTGCAAATTTTTGCATGGATGTTATTTGGACGAGCCAAACCACCCCGTCAACAAAATTCAGCTGACTGAATTACATTTGTTTTTTCAGCTGCATTGATTGGCCTAACCAAATTCTTTCGCTGTGCATAAGCCTAGTAAACTGACTAAACTAATAATCCAACCCATTTTCAATCCCAATTTACAGTTTGGTAAATAAACCTGAGATAACTTATACTTATGATCCAGCTTGAAGAATTATAGGAAAATAATTGCCATTATGTAGTACACCCTACATTATGTTCATACAGCATAATTAAAGGGACACTTCAGGCACCCAGACCACTTCTGCCTATTGGAGTGGTCTGGGTGCCAACTCCCATCACCCTTAACCCTGCAAGTGTAATTATTGCATTTTTTTTATAAACGGCAATAATTACCTTGCAGGGTAATTCCTCCTCTAGTGGCTGTCTATCAGACAGACACTAGAGGGACTCCGACTTCTTAAAACACGAAAAGTGTTTTAAATGACACTGGACGTCCTCACGCTATGCATTAGGACCTCATGCGTCGCCTAAATCCTCATTGGAAAGCATTGCACATTAGGTCTCCCCCGCCAGCTGATTTCGGCGGGGTAGGAGCATGGGCAGAGCCTGACCCAGCGCCAAGGGACAATGGCGCTGGATTCAGGTAAGTCACCAGCAATGTGGGGTGGGGGAGGGGTAAGGGGGCACTGCAAGTTTGTTTTCCTGGCCCTGGAGAGCCCCTTTAAGCACAGTTTGATAAGTAAAAAAAACATAAACAGGGTTATACACTGAAACGAAAATTGTCATAAATTCATAGTTTATTTAAAATGTAAGACACAAAGAGCAAAAATGCAAAAAAAAAATCTTCTAGTAAGCTATGCTTCCAGATCAGCTACTTTGGCCTAAAATTTGGAATTCTCTAGCGAATAAGCGTGCATATTTAATTTTACTATATATTTTTTTATTATTTACTGAGTTTATTATTAAATAACCTTTTTAATGTTTTCACCAGCGTTTTTTGTGTCTATTTAGACCTGATAGTTTCTGTTCTTCCTGTGATGATCTGATGATAACTAGCTTGTGTGTTCATGGAAATTGTAAAAAAAAAAAGCATAGAAGTGATTATGGTGCCATGAGGCTGTGAGTGTCATACTCTGGTTCTTGGTAAGGCTATTTTGAGCAGGTTGACAACTCACCATAATTGCTAATGAGGATATTTCATTTCTTCATTCAAAATATTAATATCATTCATATTTTAACGCCATTCATTAGGTGAGCCCATCACAAGGCTCCCGCCCCTCATTATTTACATTACTACATATAATATGATGGGTTTCACATCTTCTTGCTGTCAACATAGGGATACTTCTTTCTTTTAGCCTATTGTATCAGTGTTGGGGCCCTCATACCAAGGAAACTGGTTTAACTGTAGAAGTGCTGTGCACCCAGACATTCCTTTATTAGAATATACTACTGACTCTAACACATCATCATTTATTTAATTGAATTTATTTTAATAAATACACTGCCTGTCCATAGGTTGATCTGTACCATACCTCCCAATTGTCCCTATTCAGGAGGAAGAGTGTCTGTTTTGGTCCCAAATCCCTCTGTCCCTCTTTGCTGTCCTAAGGTCTCTCTTTTCTAGGAGCTTCATATTGTTGGTGTGTCTGAGTGAGAGTATAACAGAGCTCCACATCAATAATACTCACAGTAATGTGTCTTTAAACTACACTATATGTGATTAGATATCAGTTTGTGTAAATAAGATACACTGTTCTTGTTCTAAATTACAATTTCTCAGAACAACCCGATCCTGGCCACACCCGCACTCACACCCCTGTAATTAAAGTGTCCCTCTCTGTCCATTTGAAAGGTATGTTGTACCATGCAGTAAGTACATTTTACTTGTCCCTGGGCTGATGATTCCTGAGTAAACTATTTTGTTCCTTTATAATAGTGGTGGGAAAATGTGGCACCTACATGGTGAACTAATATTGCTAGAATTCACAAAACCTCATAATTCATGGCCAAGCTGTGTTTGAGTAGAAAACTATCACACCATTTTGATACCCTTGCTTTACAGGTGATGTTACCCCTTCAGTGACAAGAAATGAAATCATTGAACCTTTGTCATCTCTAACCTCTTTTGCTACAATATATCCTTTCAGTCTTTGTAAAATCCCAGGACACTGTCCACAAACTGCTCTTCAAAGCGCAGCTCATCTCCCCAGCCCAGATCACTCCTCTTCACCAGTGTCATTACACCCCTCTAATAGTCTCTCTAGTTACTCCCAGTCTGAACTGTCTCTCCCCACCATCTCATACTAATTATCCAACCTCCCTCTCAGTCCTTCCCCTTTTTCCTCAGAACTCAGAGAGTCCCCTCCCTTCACTCTCTAAAATCTGTCTCCCTGCGTTCTGTCCTCTCCTCAGCATTCACTAGCATTCTCAGTCAGTCAGAAGAATTCCAACACTCTCCCTTCTGCCTGCTAGTCTAACTGCAGGCTGGCATCATGAAGATGCTGCAGGGAGATTTGCCACTCACCCTCCTGCAGATTGTACTACTGGTTGGTGGTGGCTTTACTCAACAACAGGGCCAGGTCCCCGACAAGAAACCACCACCACAACCTGGTACAGGAGAGAAAGGGACACAGATCATCATCCCTGGACCAGAGAGAACGAACTCTTTCCAAGGTAACATCTCTCACTGGTACCCTGACACAAACATTGCAATCAGAAAATCACTAATTTTTACTGTCAAAGAAAATGTAACTGTGTGCCTGATTAAGGATCACATTAGAGACATGTACCGATCGTTTAATGCTCACCTGACATCGTATGGTTATATTAATAGAAGGGGCTGATTAAAGTGTCAGCTCTTGGGACTAATAATTATGTCAAACGTCCTTCTATTTACTTTTGTTGTTAATGCTTATATTATGTTAGTAGCTTTAATGTTATGCTTTTATGGATATGTTCAGGTCTAGAAATAATTATCTGAATCCAAGGCGTTATAGCATTACTAGTTCCTTCACAGGAACGAAAAGTTTGTTTTTTTCTATTTCTCTGAATTGTTTAATTTATTGTCACTGTTTGTGTGTGTCTATAAGGATCAGATTAAAGTTTTGGTATATAAAGTTGTAGTAAATGTGTTATAAATATATATTTAATTAGGTATATCTGGTGAAAAGTGTAAAGTGTAAACCTTTTGCCCTAGTGAGTAAAAAAAAAAAAAAAACAAGAAAAAAAAAATACAAAACCTTGTATTCCATTTGTATCTGTAGACTATACTGTATCTACCAAAGGGAAATATTAAATATAAAACTGTCTCTGTATAGATGCTGAGAGTTTAATTTCTTTGCAGTTTGAACCATCTGGTTTAACTGTTTCTCTGTAGTCCTTTTGCTGAAAGTGTTATGTACAGGGTCATTACCAACATAATAATCTAGGACAGATCCCAAGGCCCATTTTAATAAAAGGGGCAACATAATGGACCACTGAAGGTAGGATAGTCATGTTATCTTATCTAATGTGCCCTCTATGATATTAATTCAGTGTAAAAGCACACTGGTTTAATCTGTTTAGGACCCAGCAGAACTTTAATTTAAATGTTGGGTTACATTGGACAGTCAAGCTTGTATATTACATGGGGGATATTAGCTCTTATATTGCATGGAGACATTGCAATAAATGAATGAGGAACATGGTAATGGTCCAGTCTTTCTTAATCCATGGGACAGCACCCTATATTGAGTTTAATGTTTTTAGACCGGTATACTTAATTATATAATTTAATATACTATATAATGTAACATATTGTGTAAGATTATGAATGATATCTACCTATGAAACTTTCTGTTTGAGCATAATGTAAAAACTAATGCACAGTTCATTAGAGAGCCAGAGGCTTGCTAATGTTGTTGGAGGACTCCGACTCCCACCACCGTGGGCTGGCACGATGGGAGTTGCAGACTAAACAAAGATGCATGTCAGCAGTTTCCCAAACTTGCTACATAGTTACACTATGCAAGGAACTATTATAATCTTATTTTCACTGGCCATTCTTCACAACCTTGATTTGTTGTTTAATTAGTTTGGAGTCAGATAAACATTACTTTTCTCTTGGGCTGCATCATTTATCAAAGTACGGTATGTGTTTCGGAAAAGTTTAATGCACTTCTCATTTCGGCCTGACCATGGTTGGGGTCACTGTTTCCCCATTTACTACATAAAATTAGCAACTCAGTGGCTCAGAATTTCCATAAAATGTATTAAGAAAATCTTCCTTGCAGCGTTAAGGGTGCAGGATACCAACGCGTTTTCCCTTTTCAGATAAAATAACTTGTGGTTTAAATAAATTATGGGTAAAATACACATTATATCTCATCAGGATGGAGAAATATTTTTTCTTTACATGAGCAAGCTGCAGCCTTTTGACACAAGCTGTAGAGATGACAGTCAAAGACTCCTTGCACCATAACCACTACAATAATATGCAGTGGTTATGGTGCTTACAGCATGCCTTTTAGAAATGCAAGTTTTCTGCAATAACCTCACAAATTACCTCAAAGTGGATCCACATCAAATGTGGCGGCTCCTTATTTGGTTCTTGCTTTGGGGACGCCAGAACCCATGGCTGGATTAACATAGGGCTGATGGAGCTGAAGCTCCAGGCCCATTGATAAAAATAAATGCTCTTGCTTTGTGCTGAGGAAATTAAAGGAACCTCATAGTGACAGGAATACAAACGTGTATTCCTGTCACTAAGGTGTTAAAAACGCAGTTTAGACCCCGGCCCCCCATGGCTCTCTTTAAAAAGGTAATAAACTCACCATTATTCCAATGCTGCATGGGTCCACTGCAGCTGACTCCACCCTGCCCCACCGCCTTGGCTGAGATGATCAAAATTGACAATCTCAGCCAATCCAATGCTTTCCCGTAGGAAAGCATTGGGAGGCTATTGTGCATGAGTGACAAAAAAACGCCTCGCTGCACTAATCAGCATCTCCTCATAGAGATGCATTGAAGCAATGCATCTCTATGGGGAACATTCAGCCCCTCCATGCAAAGCGTCATGTACAGCACTGACCCAGGGAGCATCTCTAGTGGCTCTCTGAGTGATAGCCACTATAGGTGTTCTTAGGCAGTAATGCAAACAGTTCCTTTTCTCAGAGAAGGCAGTGCTTACATTAAAAAGCCTGCAAAGGCATAGTATACTCACCAGAACAACTACATTAAAGGATCACTATAGGGTCAGGAACACAAACATGTATTCCTGACCCTATAGTGCTAAACCCACCATTTAGGTGGCTCGCCCTTCCCTTAGCCCCCTTATAAAAGTTTAAAACTCACCTTATTTCCAGCGCCTAGCGAGTCTACCAGTGCTGGCTCCGCCCCCTTTGTGACATCATCAAAATGGCTGATTTTTAGCCAGTCCAATGCTTTCCCATAGGGATTGGCTAAAAGCATTGGATTGGCTAAAATCGGCACGGGGCGGAGCCAAATGCAGTTTTGCCCAATCAGGACCTCCTCATAGAGATGCATTGAATCAATGCATCTCTATGAGGAAATTTCAGTGTATCCGTGCAGAGCGTGGGGATGCTAAATGTCAGGGCTGCTTACTGTGCAGCCCTGAGCAAAGAAGCCCCTCCAGTGGTCATCTGAGGAGTGGCCACTTGGAGGTGTCCCTAGGGGCAATGTAAACACTGCCTTTTCTCTGAAAAGGCAGTGTTTACATGAAAATGCCTGAAGAGAGCTATTATACTCACCAGAACAAATACATTAAGCTGTAGTTGTTCTGGTGACTATAGTGTCCCTTTAAGCTGTACTTGTTCTAGTGACTATAGGGTCCCTTTCACGGGATAGTATAGTCACCAAATCAACTTATTGAAGTAGTTTTGGTGTATTGATTATGATCCTGCATTCTTACTGTTCAATTCTCTGCCATTTAGGAGTTAAATCACTTTGTTTATGCAGCTCTAGGCACACCTCCCTGCATGTGACTTACACAACCTTCCTAAACACGTCCTGTGAAGAGTCATCTAATGTTTACACTTCCTTTACTGCATATTCTGTTTAATTTAGAATTGCTTAATTCCCCCTCTGTTATTTTCTACGAGACCAGCATGAGCCTCCTGTATGTAATTAAAGGAACACTATAGGGTCAGGAACGCAAATGTATTTCTGACCTTGTAGTGTTAAAAACACACTCTAGCTTCCCCCCCAGGGTCACCCTTACTCCCTAAATATAAAACTTTACATTTATTCCAGCCTGCCAGCTCTGCCCCTGATCTGCCTGCATGGCTGACATCAGCAGAAGTGGTGATCTGACCCAATCACAATTCTTTCCCATATGATTGTCTAAAAATTCAGTTTCTTCATGCAGAGGGTGGAGACACTGAATGTCAATGCTGCACAGTGCGCAGCACTGCCTCAGGAGGCACCTTTAGTAGCCATCTGAGGAGTGGCCAGTGGAGGTATCCGTAGGCTGTAATGTGAACTCTGCATTTTCTCTGGACAAACAGTGTTTACCGCAAAAAGCCTGAAGGGTCTGTTTATACTCTCTAGAACAAATACATTAAGCTGTAGTTCTTCCGGTGACCATAGTGTTCCTTTAAAGTTCAATGTACAGAGCATGAGATAAAAACTTTTAAAGTAAGTTACATCTGATTGAAAATGAAACCATTTTGTTTTCATGCAGACTGTGTTAATCACAGCCAGGAGAAATGTGGCTAGAGCTGTATAAACAAAAGCAAACGTGATTTGACTCCTAAATGGCAGAGAATTGAGAAGTAAAACTACAGAGACATGATCTTTACACACAAACCAATTCATTAAGCTGAAGTTGTTTTGGTGACTTTAAGTCATTTTTGATTGAAGCACCTGTGCACTGATACTGATATCTTCAAGTCCCTTCCTTTCTGACAGTCCTAGATCTAGCGGGATCGCTAGAATTTGAAAAACCGTGTCCCAGCATCCTTTGCTTCATCTCCAGGGTATCAGCTTCTGGGTCATCAGAGTAAAGCCAGAGGAAACCATATAAGGAGTACATCATTACAAATTGCCCAACAAGACCCTTACTGGGAATTTCTGCCATAAGTATAATGATTTTGCAGTTGTATCTGCATGTGTAGGCCTTATTGACGTGATGGTAAGGTGTGTATTGTTTAGTGTACTGGCAACCACTTCACTTTTGATTTTGACTCCTGGCAATTGTCAGGTCAAATCGCTAGTTTGTCAATTTATGACCACTCATATTTCCATGCCACTTTTATATCTTACAGTGTAGTGGGTATGGTGCAATGAAGCTGTCCATGCAATCTGACTGGTAATTTCTGTGAAATTGTATTTATTTATTATCAAAATGTCAACCTGACATAATTTGTAGAAGTCATATATAAAATGGTGTCAGGGCCGGTACAAGAATTTTTGCTGCCACATCACAATGTCCTACCATTCTGTGGTTTCTCTTCCCCCTCTCTATGCACCATAACCACTACAGCACACCCTGGTGCCCTTCAAATTGTAAGTAATGAAACCATTTTAGAACAGTTTGACTTCATATCTGCCACAGGCCACTTACTGACTCCACTGCAAGGCAGTGCAGGACTAGCTCATTTGCTGAGAATGTCAGCTGATTGCTCTCTGCCCATAGGCTAAGCCCTGTACTGCAATGCTTAGCTCAGACAGAGAACCTCCGCCTCTTTGTCTGAAGTAGTGGTGGTGGGGATCAACTCTCTAAAAGGGTTTGACAGCTTACAATGGGGTAGGGTTGCCAGGGTACTCCTGTCCAGCGAGTTGTAGTGGTTATTGTGCTTGGAGTGTTACTTTATTGTGCTTTGAGTGTTACTGCTATACGCATTAGAATAATGTGAAGATTGCACAATTAAGAACTGAGAGTGTCAGCTGAGACATGCATATATGATCATCAATACAGCTTCTTATAACTACTTATACAATGACTTAGGTTATTCATTTTGAGGATTTAGAAAAATGGTGATAACATGTGTTTATTCTTAAATAATTCTAAGGGAATTTTGGTGTTAGTATGGGAGACTCCAAACTAGTTCCCTTGTGAAATGGTAGAACTTAGCATAGAATAAATTACTGTATAATTTATCAATAGTAATGAAAGTCAATATTTTTCACTGTAGCTGCTGTGGACTAGTTGGCTTCCCTGAGGCTCATTTGGCTTCTTTTATATAGTGTATGTCCTGAGTGTACCTATTTAGGTGGAACAGTCCCTATTTTTGGCCTAAATCCCACTGTCCCTCTTTTTTTATTTAAATGTCTAACTTTTCTAGGACCTCCATTTTGTTGGTGTGTGTGAAGAAATGACTCCGTTAATCAGGATTTCTACCTTTTCTTGTACAGTTAATTCACCAAATTCAGCTGGAATTCGGCATATAGCTTTCATTTCTACCCTTCGGATGGATTCAGGCGAATTCCCTGTGTAAAATATAGGTGGCCGCCATTTCGGCACTTTACACGTGGCCGCGGCCATTTTCCGTGCGAACAGCGGTGTTTGCCCGTCAACGCGTGGAACTAAAATCGGATACGCAAACAGGCGAACACCGCTGAGACCTCCATACATCCAGAACTTCGCACGGGAACGACCGAATCACCGGCCGTTCGGTAGTTACATGCAACTTCGTATGGGGATTTCAACGATCACAAAGATGCGAATGGATGGCAGGGCTTTCGTCTCTTTTATTCGCCTAAACGGAGACCGACCGCAGGGCCAAAACTTATGGAACTATTTTCGGCTAGATGGTCCGTGCGGTCGGTCAAAACTTTAGTGTTCCATAACTCCCGAACCATTCATCCGAATGGACTGATTTTTCGATATGTTGTCCACACAAATGTTGTCCACACAAATGAGAACTATCCAGCGGTACCAGATTTAAAGGTGTACCCCCTGTTTTTGGGGTACATCCAGAACTGGGGTAAAATAGTACACGTTTTAATTAAGTTAACTGTTTATCAGAGGGGAGGGAGGTATGGGCTGTAACCTATTCCTGATTGGTGATTTAATGCCTCCCCCTGGGTGTGTATTTCTTGTCTGTAACCGTAATAAAAAGCAGGCTGGAGATTCCAGACCTCAGATCTACTTGTAACCTGATTCTGGACTCTGACTGTTATTTGGGAATTCGTATGCTTTACCAAGGGGTTTATCTTGGGAAGCTGTTATATTTCTTATGGACTTCATTTGCTTAGACCTGTAGGCGCTGGCATTACGGGAGGAATTATCAAAGCGGTTCAGCTATATGGGATTTCCTTACAACTGGTGGCAAGCGGAGGGATTCGAATCCCAAATGGACATTTCAAAACAAGCAAAGGAATGAATGGCCCAGCAGTACCAGCTACTTAAAAGAACCACGCTAAAGGACTTACTGGAAGCTCGAGGCAGAGTGGCAAGTAACAAAACAAAAGCCACGATAATTGCGGAGCTAATGCAGAGCGATAATACCAGTAATATAGAGATGGACCAAGAGGAAGAAACCGTGATGCAAAAGGACATCCGATGGACACTCAGTTTATTGGGACCCAATCCATCCTCAGAGGCGATACTGCAGGTCGTAGCACAAGCCAGACAAGCGCAAAAAGAGCGAGATGACCGGGACAGAACGTCACAGGGGGATTTGCTACACCCCCCGAGAAGTATTGGGGAAATACCAAAGAAGGTAAATTATGCAGCGTTTAAATCATTTGTTGACAATGAAATGGAAATTGACAGTTACTTGCAAGACTTTGAACGTCAGTGTGCACTGGAGGGATTAGACTCCACCAAATGGGCTGCAGTCGTCAGCAGTAAATTGTCAGGTAGAGCAGCCGAGGCGCTGCGAGCAGTACCTGAGGGAGACATACATAATTATGAGAAAATAAAAGACATTTTGTTGGCCAGATATGCGGTAACTCCGGAGGCATACCGGAAAAAGTTTAGAGACCTGAGAAAGACTGGGAGAGATTCCCATACGGAATGGGCTTTTCGCTTGCAGCGGGCAGCCCGCAATTGGATGAAGGGCTGCCAGGCAACCACCCTAGAAGAGGCTTTACAACTAGTGATACTGGAGCAATTTTTTAATCATACTGCAGAGGACATAAAAGACTGGGTAAAAGATAGGAAACCAAAAACCGTGCAGGAGGCCGCTAGGCTAGCGGACGAGTACCAGGATAACAGGAGGAAAGAGCAAGGGGCGAGCAGACCACCATTTAAGCCTCAGTACACAGCTCCAACCAACCCGGCTCCACCTAGACCTGCCATAGGTAACCCCCCACCGAACCCAGCAAACACACCTTGACCTCCTGCAGTGTGTCACTACTGCAAGCAACCAGGACATTACAAGTATCAGTGCCCTCGCTTAAACCGGGGAAGCTGGGAACGGCCCGCCCCACAACAACCCAGGGCAGCTGCGCACTGTGTGCAACAGGATCACACAGGCCCTGGCCTTAACCACGAAGAACAGTGGAGTGTATTACATGAGGTCAATCCAGTACAAGCTGGGGGGGACAACCAGGACCATCACCGCCAATGGATTACCGTCGATGGCGTGGGGGCCCGGGCGCTGAGAGACTCTGGGGCTACTTTGACTGTGGTACAGCCCCACACGGTCAGAGCACAAGCTCGCACCCGACGCACAGTCGCTGTAAGGGTGGCTGGGGGCGCTATTCACAAACTGCCCACCGCTAATATGTTTGTTGATTGGGGTTCCGGGTCTAAACAACTGGAGGTGGGGATTATGCAAGAACTGCCCGCCGAGGTTTTGTTGGGAAATGATGTGGGATGCCTAACCTCCCAGCTAGCCCGAGACCCCCCTGCCGAGGCCTACCCGGTTACCACCCGAGCTCAAGCCAGACTGGAAGCTCCGCTGCACTCTGAGGAAAACCAGGTAAGATTCAAAATACCTCCCTTACCCGATCCCCCCGTACCCTTCTGGGATACCCCCCAGGGGTTTGAACAGGGACAGCGTACTGACCCCACATTAGAAGGCTATAGGAAGGCCGCGGCCGCTACCCCCGAGAACAACCCGCACGAAAAATTTGAGTGGTATAAGGGGTTGCTATATAGGGTAACCGAGGGGGTGGGACAGGGACCCAGGTCATAAAAAGACAGTTAGTTGTGCCCCGTAAATTTCGGGCTGAGTTGTTAAAACTCAGTCATGACATTCCCCTAGCAGGACATTTAGGGGTCAAAAAGACCAGAGACAGGTTAACTCAAACCTTCTTCTGGCCCAGAGCCACCCAGGACCTAAAGTACTATTGTAGGACATGTGATGTATGCCAAAGGGTAGGAAAAAGGGGAGACCTTCGGAAGGCTAAGCTGCACCCCCTACCCATCATCGAACAGCCCTTCCACCGAGTAGCGGTGGATTTAATAGGTCCCCTCAGTCGCCCCAGTCCGTCGGGCAAAAAGTTTATCCTAACGGTGGTTGACTACGCCACTAGATACCCGGAGGCAGTCGCCCTCACCAATATAGAGGCCGAGACCGTGGCAGAGGCCCTTATTCAGATATTCACCTGAGTAGGTTTCCCACAGGAGATACTCTCCGATCGGGGGACGCAGTTCACAGCCACCCTGACGCAACAACTGTGGCAGAGCTGTGGAGTGCAGCCCCTGTTCAGCGCCCCGTATCATCCCCAGACTAACGGGCTCTGTGAACGTTTCAATGGCACTCTAAAACAGATGCTAAAAACTTTTACAGAGTCCCACAAGAATTGGGAAAAATTCCTTCCCCACCTTCTGTTTGCCTACCGTGAGGTGCCCCAGGCCTCCACTGGGTTTTCCCCCTTCGAACTCCTGTACGGGAGAAAAGTTCGGGGCCCACTGGAGCCCGTACGGGAACACTGGGAGGGCAATACAGATGAGGGGGGAGTCCCTATCGTCCAGTATGTCCTGGAGTTCCGGGACCGTCTGCGGGCCCTCACCGAATCGGTTCGGAAGAACCTGCAGGCGGCCCAGGAGGACCAGAAAAAGTGGTACGATAGGAGGGCCCAGGATAGAGTGCTGGACTTAGGGCAGAAGGTACTGGCTCTGAGGCCCGTTAAAAAGGACAAGCTGCAAGCAGCCTGGCAGGGACCCTTTAAGGTAGTGGAACAGGTTAGCGAGACTACTTACATCGTGAGCAAATGCTCAGATGAAAGGCTGACCAAAGCCTTCCATGTGAACATGCTCAAACCATATTTTGAAAGGACAGAGGAGGTGGGCGCCGTGTGCGCCCCCGCCACAGAGGATAGTGAAGGGCTACCCCTTCCTGACTTACTGGATACCACCCCCTGTACTATTGACCAAGTAAGCTTGGGGCAAAATTTAGACCTCCTGGAGAAAGGTGAGGCTACCCATCTGCTGCAGGGATACCGAGAGATGTTTTCCGCTACCCCCGGCTATACCTCCGCTGCGGTACACCGTGTGGAAACCCAGGGAGAGACGCCCCTACGGCAACAGCCATATCGGATCCCGGAAGCAGTACGTGAGAGTATGCTCACCGAGTTAAGGGATATGTTACGGCTAGGGGTAATAGAACCCTCCCAAAGTCCTTGGGCCTCCCCGGTGGTACTAGTACCGAAGCGCGACGGCACTACGCGCTTCTGTGTAGATTACCGGAGGCTTAACGACCGTACCATAACCGATGCCTACCCCATGCCTAGAATAGATGAGCTCTTAGATCGTATGGCGGGGGGGAACTACTTGACTACCCTGGACCTGTGCAAGGGTTATTGGCAGATCCCCTGGAGCCTGCGGCCATCCCCAAGTCGGCGTTCGTCACCCCGTTTGGGCTATACCAATTCAAGGTTATGCCCTTTGGGATGAAGAACGCCCCGGCTACGTTTCAGCGGATGGCGGATAGGCTCCTGGAGGGGTTGCAGGACTTCGCATGTGCGTATCTAGATGATATTGCCATCTATAGCCGCACATGGGGAGACCATCTGGGTCATGTGTCCAGGGTACTCGAACGAATCCACCTCGCCGGGCTCACTTTGAAACCCGACAAATGTCACGTAGGCCTAGCCGAGGTCCAGTATCTAGGTCACCGGGTCGGCTCCGGTAGACAACGCCCAGAGCCCGCTAAGGTAGAGGCCATAGCTAACTGGCCCCAACCCCGGACCAAAACCCAGGTACTGGCTTTCTTAGGGACGGCCGGGTATTATAGGAAGTTCGTCCCAGAATATAGCGCCCTGGCCAAGCCCCTCACGGACCTTACCAAAAAGGCCCTTCCCAAACAGGTCTCCTGGACCCCAGAGTGCACGGACGCTTTCCAGAAGCTCAAAGCGGCATTGAGTGAGGCCCCTGTGTTGGCAGCACCCGATTACACTAAACAATTTCTTGTCCACACAGATGCCTCCATGTTTGGGCTGGGAGCCGTGCTAAGCCAGGTGGGGGCGGATGGCATGGAACACCCGGTGGCATACCTCAGCCGTAAACTTTTGCCCCGAGAAGTCAGCTATGCCACCGTAGAAAAAGAGTGCTTGGCCCTCGTGTGGGCCCTCAAGAAACTTCAGCCCTATCTGTATGGGCGAGCGTTTACCCTTATGACCGACCACAACCCTCTGGTATGGCTCAACCGGGTAGCTGGTGACAACCCCAGGCTACTCCGGTGGAGCCTAGCTCTCCAACCATACAATTTTACCATGCAGTACCGTCCGGGTAAACAAAATGGGAATGCGGATGGACTGTCCCGCCAGACCGAACTGGACACCTAAAAACATACTTTCATCGGACATCCCCAAGCCAACCCGACAGGGTCTAGGCGGGTATGCCGACCTATGGACTTATAGGGGAGCAGTGTGAAGAAATGACTCCGTTAATCAGGATTTCTACCTTTTCTTGTACAGTTAATTCACCAAATTCAGCTGGAATTCGGCATATAGCTTTCATTTCTACCCTTCGGATGGATTCAGGCGAATTCCCTGTGTAAAATATAGGTGGCCGCCATTTCGGCACTTTACACGTGGCCGCGGCCATTTTACGTGCGAACAGCGGTGTTTGCCCGTCAACGCGTGGAACTAAAATCGGATACGCAAACAGGCGAACACCGCTGAGACCTCCATACATCCAGAACTTCGCACGGGAACGACCGAATCACCGGCCGTTCGGTAGTTACATGCAACTTCGTATGGGGATTTCAACGATCACAAAGATGCGAATGGATGGCAGGGCTTTCGTCTCTTTTATTCGCCTAAACGGAGACCGACCGCAGGGCCAAAACTTATGGAACTATTTTCGGCTAGATGGTCCGTGCGGTCGGTCAAAACTTTAGTGTTCCATAACTCCCGAACCATTCATCCGAATGGACTGATTTTTCAATATGTTGTCCACACAAATGAGAACTATCCAGCGGTACCAGATTTAAAGGTGTACCCCCTGTTTTTGGGGTACATCCAGAACTGGGGTAAAATAGTGCACGTTTTAATTAAGTTAACTGTTTATCAGAGGGGAGGGAGGTATGGGCTGTAACCTATTCCTGATTGGTGATTTAATGCCTCCCCCTGGGTGTGTATTTCTTGTCTGTAACCTTAATAAAAAGCAGGCTGGAGATTCCAGACCTCAGATCTACTTGTATCCTGATTCTGGACTCTGACTGTTATTTGGGAATTCGTATGCTTTACCAAGGGGATTATCTTGGGAAGCTGTTATATTTCTTATGGACTTCATTGCTTAGACCTACCTTAGACGCTGACATTGCAGGAGGAATTATCAAAGCGGTTCGGCTATACGTGATTTCCTTACAGTGTGTATAACATAGATGCACATCAATAATACTCCAAGTAATGTGTCTTTAAACTACATTAATGTATGTAGAAATCAGGCTGAACTGCATGCTTTCTTTAACCTTGAACACATGTTAAACATGCCATTTTTGCTTTTTATTGTTAACCTCGCAATATCAGCCTGGTCTGGCTTTAAGATGATAACATTTGCTAAAAATTGTTTGTGAAATACAGATTGTGTTCACTTTGATAACAGTGATGCAATCGCAGCTGAAAGTGAGAAAATGCTGTTACCAATTCCAAACTGATTACCAGGTTTTCCCACCATGGATATTTGGTCCTCAATTTGCACTTCCCCTGTCATGTCACCATAATTAATAAGTAGGATGCCCCCCCTTTTTTAAATTTAACAGCCCCCTCCTTCTGGGCGCGGGTGGGTTCAAGTGGTTGGACAATGATCTGTCCATGACCAATTTTTTAATTTAAAATTTCCTACCTGATGCCCACAGGTGGAGGTATGGAGGGACTATGTCCTCCCCCCCCCCATTATTTTACAGGCCCCATCATCATCAGACTGGGCAGAAATCACTGCTTGGTTGCTTGTTTTAAATATTTAGTAGCTATGCCTCCACCTGATGCATGGCAGCTGAGAGCACAGAGAGCTTTATAGTGATAAGGGGATCATATTGACTTTTTCAATAATGAACTTTTTACTTTTTTAATGTGATGGCTTGCTAGCAAGCACTGACCAGCTGCCACACGGTTATCCCTTAAAGGACCACTATAGTACCAGGATAACAAACTTGTTTTCCTGGCACTATGTAGTCCTTAGGTCCCCCCCACCATCATGGCCCCCCCTCCCGCTTGGCTGAAGGGGTTAAAACCCCTTCAGCCACTTACCTTTCTCCAGTGCTGGGCTCCCTCGGCACTGGTGACCTCTCCTCCTCTTGCCGACGTCATTACTCAATGCTTTCCTATGGACGTCCAGCGTCTTCTCACTGTGATTTTAACAGTGAGAATCGTGGAAGCGCCTCTAGCCACTAGAGGCTGGATTAACCCTCAGTGTAAACATAGCAGTTTCTCTGAAACTGCTATGTTTTCAGCTGCAGGGTTAAAACTAGAGGGACCTGGCACCCAGACCACTTCATTGAGCTGAAGTGGTCTGGGTGCCTATAGTGGTCCTTTAAACAGACTGTTTCTAACCATGTGCCCACTGATTGCTAGTGCTGCCAGCAGGCAGATATTAGTTGAAAGTATCATTCACCTGCAAAACCATAAGTGAATGACAATTTGTGAAGAAGCATCCTGCCGAATGCATTAAGTCCCAGATTTTTGTAAAATCAGCGATTTATGAATATTTTGGATCCTTCACTTTATATATGGTTTGCATGAAAAAGGAGCTCTGATCCTAAATTCGAACAACAAATACACCTCAACAATTGTTGCTTTAATAAATATGAAAATTGCCGTTGCGGTTAGAATTCAGATTTTCACAAGATAGGGGGACGCAATATACACAAGGCAAATAGAAGAAATAATATACATATAGCATAATAAATTCAATAACATGTATAAATTTGAAACAATCAAAAATAGTAAAATAATATATAATTCCAAAACCTTTTAATGTGTTCACAGATATATTTCAATTATAATAGGAGTGGTTTTTTTATATATTGAAGTAAACGTTGGAATGTAGAGATTCTTATAATTTTTGGTGTCGTTTTTGGATCATTTAAGTGATTGTAACATTTTTTATCTTTTCTATACTCAGATTGTCCTGTGGATATCTTCTTTGTATTGGATACATCAGAAAGTGTTGCCCTGCGTGTGAAACCTTTCAAGACACTGGTCAATCAAGTGAAGGACTTTACTAATAGGTTTATAGATAAACTCACTTCCAGGTACGGAATCCATATTAAACCTAACTCATGTTGCTATTACGTAATTCATTATCCCTGGTTTGTGCAATAATAGATATGTGGTGCTTTGTTGCTTTAACAGTATTACATGACTGATTTCCAACATACTTCCCAAATGTCTCAAATACAAAAATTATATACAAAGTGTGGTGCACATCTTTAAGTAGAATGGTATAAGCTTTTAGATTGTTACACTGTAACCATCTTTATAAGTAAACCTTTTGGACGATACTCCAGTGTAACCATAAAATAAAAAAAAATATAAGAGGGTGCACAACATATCACTATATTGTGAATGCAAATGCCATTCACCAACTCTGTACCAAAAACTGTTAGCACAACCTAATGCAGGCCACCTGGATGCGAATACAAGGGCAGGCAGATATACACTACTGTGTCTAGTGATCTCTCACCATTCACTGACTCACTGACAGCACTCTTTTTTTTTATAAGTGCAAGATGCAATCAGTATCCGCTCTGTAGGGTTCATCTGTCACCACCCCATGTGCATTCAACGGAACAATACAGAATAAAAGATCCACATTATAAGCAAAGTTACACTGTACTGGAATAATGATCCAGGTCATGCAGGCTTTCAGTTCAGCTACCTTGGTCTTAACTTTGAAATTCACTTTAAATTCTCATTTTAGTGAGTAAGCTTGCTTAAAGGACCATTAAATGAAGTGGTGTAGGTGCAAGGGGGGTGTAGTTTTCACCCTGGGACGCAAAACCTTTCGGTGTAGTAGAAACTACAACGTCTTCACTGCAGGTTAATACATTTCTAATGAATGTCTACTTGACAGCCACTAGAGGCGCTTCGTTGTGAGAACTGAGTTAGACTCGATTCTCAAACACATACTACTCCTAGAGCACAACTGAATTGTCACAGTGTGGTTTTCCCTATGGGGAAGCACTGAATTGACTGAGATTATCAATCTCACAAGACCAGGTTGGCGAGGGAAGAAAAGTAACTGAAACTTACCTTTTAAATCATCACTGGCTGGGGGGCAAGACAACTTCTAAATGAGTAGGGGAACACTATATAATTAGGAACACATGTTTAACGCTACAGTGTTCCTTTAATGTTTGTGCGCATGTTTGTAACTTTTTTGTTTGGTCAGGATATATTGTATTTTTTGTTACTTTTCCATGTGTTTACACCATTCTCTTTTTATTTCTGCTGAATAAAAAAATTAAAATATGATAATGAGATAATGGCAGAAATCTTACAGTATAAATAATGAAAATAACAATCAATAAAATCCTCTGTACAATGTATGCAAAATGTACTCATATAAACTGTGACAAAACACTAATGATAACAGCTCTACTGGATTATGTTAAATTGTGACAGAAACCATAATTTTGTTTAAATATTCAGTACTACAGAAAATATTTCATTTGAACTGTGCAAAATGTTTTCAATTTAATGTATTCAATCATATATTTTTTCAGTGCAAATATTTTTAAAGAAATTTTAAGAGTTAAAAAAAATAAGTCTCACACAAGCCTTTAAAGGGCCCCTATAGCCACCAGAACTACACAGAACTACAGCTTAATTTAGTGGTTCTGATGTCTATAGCCTGTGCCTGCAAGCTTTTCAATGTAAACGCTGGCTTTTCATCATTTTCATGGACATTTCTCTGGTGTTATAACAAAGTTTTTAGGTGATAAACCCCAACAAAAACACAAAAGTAATGTGCGAAGAGCTAAAAATATATGTTAACTTACCCCTTTTTTTGGGGGGGGGTTGACAAACAAGTATTTTGGAAACTAAAAATAAAAAAAAACAATAATAGTGCAATTTTGTATAATTCTGTGCAAATGTGATGAAGAGCATTGGTATTACACTCACGTTTAAAGAGCCTTTTAGAGAACTGGCTCTAAACATGCAAGCTTTAGAGCCTTTAAGGTGGTAACACCACTTTCTTGGACAGAGCGGCATGTCACCACACAATGCTCCATACAGAGAAGAGCAGATTGGATGAACAATTAAAGGACCACTATAGTGCCAGGAAAACATACTCGTTTTCCTGGCACTATAGTGCCCTGAGGGTGACCCCACCCTCAGGGACCCCCTCCCGCCCGGCTCTGGAAAGGGGAAAAGGGGTTAGACTTACCTTTTTCCAGCGCTGGGCGGGGAGCTCTCCTCCTCCGATCCTCCTCCGTCTCCTCCTCCTGGGCTGAATGCGCACGCGCGGCAAGAGCTGCGCGCGCATTCAGCCCGTCGCATAGGAAAGCATTTACAATGCTTTCCTATGGACGCTTGCGTGCTCTCACCGTGAAAATCACAGTGAGAAGCACGCAAGCGCCTCTAGTGGCTGTCAATGAGACAGCCACTAGAGGATTAGGGGGAAGGCTTAACCCATTCATAAACATAGCAGTTTCTCAGAAACTGCTATGTTTATGAAAAAATGGGTTAACCCTAGCTGGACCTGGCACCCAGACCACTTCATTAAGCTGATGTGGTCTGGGTGCCTAGAGTGATCCTTTAAGAACCATCCCCTTTAAAGGAGAACCCAAGGAAACTGGAGGCCATTGATTTAAAAGGAGAAAGGACAGGAGCTTATCACTGCACATTATTTTAATCTCATTTTTAATCATTGTTTTTTTACATTTTTTAAATACATGTAATTATTTACTATTCAAGTCAGTGACTTTGTCCTGATTAACTCCAACCTGGGCTCAGAGAGGGTATTGTCACCATATATTTGGTATATTTGGTATATTTCATTTACAAACTTGGAGACAGTAAATCCTGTATTGCCTCTCTCCATACTTATTTCTTATTTTCATCACTGAAAGATGTTCAAACCACTAAAGAAAGTAATGTTGCCGCCTTAAAGGCACGGAAGCTTGCACGTTTAGTGCCTGTTTGCTTAGAGGCTCTTTTAAACGTGAGTGTACCAATCATCTTCATCACTATTATTGTTCTTCATTTTTCTTTTCTTACATAAAGAGATATAAAATAAATTCTGAAAAGCTCAGGTTCTACAGTTTCAGATATCTACAGTAAAAAACAGAGAAAAAAGTTACTTACACAGTATCCCAAATCCCTCTGCACATTTAAATAACTGTATGCACTTTTTTAGGATGGCTCCCAAAAAAAACCCAACCCTCCAATTTAAATGTGCATAGGGATTTGGAATAGTGCCCACATAACTTTTGCCTTTGTTTTTCATTGTATATATTGGAGATCATGTGTACTACAGTCATTGCTGCCTGGGAGCAGTGGGAGTTTAAGCGCTGGGCTTTATTTTGTATGTTAATTTCAGATATATGAAAATGGTATTTTGTATTTACCATTTTCCTATCAATTGCTGCAGCATTTATTTTCCTTTTAAAATCTGGAAAAGTGAAATGTATTAACAACCATTTCTTATTTATATTTATAGTGAAGATTTAGAAAATGAACTCATAATCAAGTAAAGAAGATAAGTGCATGTGGTAGAGCCTAAAATAATGATTGACAGGATGCAAAGATGGAAGTAACCAGTTGCAGGAAAAAGAGGTGTTGATTTCTACATGTACAGGTTTATTTACTGAAGTGGGAATTCAAAACTAAAATGAACTTCAAAATTAAGGACAATTTGAAGTTCCAACCTGGAAAAATGTTCTTCGTCAGCTATGCTTTGACTTTGGCTACTTAGGGATCTTAGGCCTTAATTTTGAAATTCACTTGGAATTTCCACTTTAGTGTATAACCCTTTATCTACAAAAAAATCAAGGGAAGTGACCTATTTCCCTTAAAGTGAACCTGTCCTCCAGAAAATGACAAGTCCATTTAAGGTCGGTGTACATTTAATCTATTCATCCTGTTAGTGATATTGACAAAGGAGGGACAGTGGAATCAGTGGTGGAACTACTGCAGGTGCAGACGATGCAGCTGGACCAGGACCCACAAACTGAGGGGTCCCATTGGTTCGCTTCTGCAGTTAGGGCCACCCAATAGAAATGTGTCTTCAGGGGCCGGGTCTTAACAGCATGACCAGTCCCCTTTAACAATGTAAGGGCAGCCTTGGAGGAGGTGAGAGCTGGTCACGTCTTCCCAGATAACACAGGGCTGTCCAGGAGTGAGAGAGGACAGAGGGGAAAGGGCACAGATCAAGACAGCCAGCTTCTAACTCCCAACAGCCTCAGCCAGTAGAAACCTCTTGCATACAAAATGTAGGAAAAAGGTGGATAGCTAAAATGTGTGCATTTTAACCTGCATGTGTGTTTGTATGTGTGTTATTGTGTGTCTGTGTACCTGCATGTATGTCATTGTGTGTGTCTGTGTATCTGCAATAGTCAGTGTTTGTATATGCGTTTGTGTACCTGCATGTGTCAGTGTGTATATCTTTGAGTCTGTGTATGTGTATTAGTGTGTGTGTATGTGTAACTATAGGGTGTCAGTGTATGTCTGTGCATCTGTATGTGTGTCATTGTGTGTACCTGTTTGTGTACTTGTGTATCTGTATCTGTGTCATTGTGTGTATCACTGTGCCGTGTATCTGCATGTTTGTCAGTGTGTGTGTGTCTGTACCTGTATGTGCATTTGTAAGTGTCTGTGTATCTGCATGTGTGTCAGTGAGTATAAATACATTTCAAATTTAAAAGTGGTCCAACACGTTTCATCCACCTGGCGGACTTCCGCAGGGACCAAAATAACTATAACAATCAATAATAATAATAATTTAAATATATTTGAAAGTAGGTATAGGTTTATTGTAAACACATTTCAGGTAGGTATTTGAAGAGATTTATTGTTACCAAATCTCCAGGTAGGTTGTAGTATAGTTATTGTATTTTAATTGTTATATTTTTTTTGGTCCCTGAGGAAGTGCAATGGGAAGATGAAACGTGTTGGACCACTTGTTGAAAAATTTAATTTTATTGCTTGTAAATTTCACTTTATGCTTGTATTTAAATTGTTTCCCATTTCATTTCATAATTTTGTTTAAAAAAATGCAACATTTAAAATACAATTAATTCTGCGTATCTCTATCACTTCACACTGATCATCAAAATACATACATAAATGGCCTACTTGCAGCTGACACTACCACAAATAACAATTTTGTTATATTCCCACAGCCGTGTCTCTAAAACCCCTCAAGAAAGCAAACAAATTAAAGCAATATTGCATATAAATGAACACTCTGAAACCATTCACAGCTGTCTCAAAGAACAACTAAACAAGACATATGTTATCACTTTCTCTTCTCAATTTTAATTTTTTTTTAAGGTAAATAAATGCAGATACAGTAGAAAAATTAGCTACACCCCCTGATTAATCTTCTAACCAATCGGTCAGTAGATTAAGGGGTGTAGCAAATAGCTTAACAAATAATAATTCAGCGGCTGGAATCACTAATTTAGCATGAGAAAAATAATATTAGTGGGCTGGGTAAGGTGAATTAGCTTAATTTATTTGGGGAAATTAGACTGTGAAGCGACCAACTTCCTGGTTCCTCCATGTCCAGAGCAACCGCATCAGATCATGTCGTATGGGGAGAAGGATGTGTGAGTATGAAATGTGTGTGATAACATTTTTACAAGTAAACATCGGATCTACAGTGCACTACATCCAGCAATACAGTACACATAAATACATTGCCCATAATTGGCATAGGAAGAAAAAAGTAAATACGTAATCCTAGGAGGCCTAAACAAGTTGGTTACCTTTATAGAATTTAGTTTTTGGTTTTTGTTGTTTTTTTCCCTTTGTTTTTAATAATACATTTTTTTTTGGCATACCTAATCCTATAACCATTTCCCCCCCACCCCTCCCCTCCCTCCGGCGTGCTGCCAGTGGTTGACATTAATCCAGTTTCCCGTCTTCCCCTATTTTTGAACAACTATAAGGGCCCTGTCTGGGTTTCCCGGTGGGGTTGGGAAGGGACAGGGATGTGTAGCAGGCTGTCTCACACCCTATGGGGCAGGGGAAGGAATTAAAGAGAGTGGCCATGTGGCCCAGTGTGCCTCCTAGGGACTGGCTGGTATGCCCCAAAACTGTTCCATATAACGGCTGGTAGTAGTGGGGCATGGAAAATGTTAACTGGGGATAGTAATGAAGGGTCCTCTTATGGTGAATGTGATAGTCCACTGCCCTGTAACAGGTGTCCCAACTGCATTACATGGTTGCCTTATTGAGTTTGAAAAACATACGACCTGAGTCCAGGCGTGGTCATGCTCCGTGACAGCCTGTCAAGCAAGTTAGCAGTCGGCATAGGTTTATTGGTGCCGTGTGTCCATGGTGGGATGATCAATCTGTTAGGAGGCACCAGGAAGAATATGAAGCAACGACCCTTGCCGTTCTGTAAGTATTTTCCATGGATGTGTAGCTGTCTGTTTCCATCAACAATTTGTGTCTGCTTATCTGGAAGTGGTGGGGAGGTTGGCGCATCTGGAAGTGGTGGGACATTTCCAGCAGGTGTGTGCACTTGTAATCCAATAGGGAGGGTGTGTGGAGAGACAATCAGACACTCAGTAGCTTGCGGTCACAGAAATTCTGTAGAAGAATGGCCTGTAGCGGCTACCACCTAAGAATAGTGATTGAGCTTAGGACACTGAGGATCTTGGGGAATGTAGGGTATGGCGCTGCTCCTTTTCTGTGTGGCCGATTGCCAGCGTTGCCTCTAAGGAAAGTGTTGGGCAGCATTCAGTGGGGTCGGTGAGTACCAGTCCGGAATGTTAGTATCTTGGAGCTCCAGAGTTCGTATGAATGGCTGCACATCAGGGGGAGAGGAGATGGTGTATGTCGTACCTTGCATTGTGACAATTTGTGCTAGGGGACAGCCCCAACAATAGCAAATATTGCGGATTTGCAGCTGGTCAGTAATAGGCTTAAGTGCTCTCCTGGCCTGGTCAACCAGGACAGGTCTGGATATATCTGCACTGGATTGTCATGGAAATGTAGCGGAGGAGTAGTTTGGCAGAGAGTTTTCATTAACTCTTCTTTGTAGGAGAAACAATGGAGCCGAAATATTACACCCCTAGGTGCATCAGCAGATGTGTTTCTGGGTCTCAAGGATCTACGTGCCTAGTCCAAAAGCACCGGTGTGTCGGTCGGCTTACCTAATAATAGGTTGAACAGTTCATGGAGAGTTATGTGAAGGTCCTCCTTGTCACACTCCGGCAGTCCCTTAATTTGAAAGGGTTGTTCCTCCTACCCCTATTATCAGGTCGTCCAGGGACCTTTGGTAGAAGGATAGGGATGTGGTCTGAGTATCCAGGGCCATTTGTTGGTGTTGTACCTGAGTGAATAATATGTCCCGGTCGTCCTCCAGAGAGTTTACTCTCTCACCAACATGGCAGAGATCGGATCGCAGAGCATCCATTTTCTTCTGGAAAGATGATTCCAGTTTGGCTAGCATAAGGGCCAAATCATCTTTGGAGGGTAGGTTTTTCAGTAATTCCTTGATGTCAGGATCTTACTGTGATATGAAGCCCTCAGATTCTGCTGGGCTGGAAGGAGGAGATTCCCCTTGTGCTGCCAGTGCCATTTTGGAAGCCTCTGGTTCATACTGTGTTTCCAAGGAATCATGAAAATATTTGGTGAGGGAACCCCCTTTTCCATTGGGGGTCTTCCCTGGTACAGTGTGGCTGGAGTGGCCTTTCATGGGGTTACCCATATCACTATTTCAGCCCTCGTTTTAGCGAGATTCCGCCGGTGATATCAGGGAGCTCAGCAGGATGTGTCCATGCAGCGCCTTAGCTGGCCACGCCCGACTTCAATTTTCTTTTTTTTTGCATTCATGTGTATAATAAAATTAGTATTATTATTTATAAAGTGACTACAAATTCTGACTTTCCTTAACTGTGATTGCATTTTTAGAGGGATATATACATATGCGCAGATCTAATACAAATGTTATCACCCTTGCTGGAAAATTGTCTAGTTTTATAACTGATAATCATAATGTGCACTAAATACTTGAAACTTTACAAAATAAAACAGAATGACTGTCAAGGAACATTTTAAATACTAGCCGTTAAAGGCAGAATATGAAGAACAACTCACGACTGATGACATGGTCTGTCTATTATCCAGAGCCAACTGCCATAGGAAATCTCCTTTTTGGCCAAATTTAACATGTGTACTCATCATCATCAAACACACAAAAGTATTTTTCATCAAATTAAACATCAACCATAATAAATAATGTTGACAAATAAAAGCTTTTTTATACACCGATATTCTTTCAGTTTATTGATAATTTATGTGAGAGCCTTGTAAACATTTTGTTTTTGTTTGCTTCAGGTATTATCGTTGTGACCGTAACCTTGTGTGGAATGCTGGAGCTTTGCACTACAGTGATGAAGTAATCCTTATTCGTGGTTTGACACCACTGCCCACCGAGAAAGATGCCTTGAAAGAAAGTGTTAAAAAAGTTGAATACATTGGGAAAGGAACACATACTGACTGTGCTATCAAAAGGGGCCTTGAAGAAATCCTTGTTGGGTTGGTATAGCAATATTATTAGTGACACACTTTTCTGAGAAAATGTTGTCTTATGTGCCTTTCAGAATTATCACCCAAATTCACTCTGTTTCTCTTTATTATACAGACCTTATCTTACTGTCTTCCATACTGATTTGAACAGATTATATACTTTTAGATTATATACAACATGCTTTGAAAGTTTCAGAGGCATGTCTTTTCCTGTAGATGTTGCATGTTCCAAAAGTCATCATCCCAATAGAGCAAGATAAATATGCATCTTTTTCTTATTTCAGGGGGTCGCACATGAATGAAAACAAATATCTCATAGTGGTAACAGATGGACATCCCTTGGAAGGCTATAAGGAACCTTGTGGAGGACTTGAAGATGCAGCTAATGAAGCCAAGCATCATGGTGTTAAAATATTTTCTGTTGCCATTTCACCAAACCATCTGGTAAGATTTCATAGAACACCCAAATGCAGGCGACTACCACTGAGAGGTGGCTTGAGAAACCTTTTCATTCATTAACATCTATTTTTGTCTTTAGGAATCCCGCCTTGGTGTTATTGCCTTTGATCAAAATTATCGAAAGAACTTCACCGCTACAAGTGCCTCTGGACTTCCCATTGAGGAGACAGATCTCACTATAGATACTATCATTGATACTATTGTAAGTTTTCTTTGGCATGAGGCCTACAGTAGCATGTTCTCTATAGCGTTCAGTGTCTTGCATTGGCTTAGTCCTTGAGCTAGGGATAAAATTAAATAGTTGCTTACTGCATATTTTATCCAGAAATCTCTTTACCAATCTTATTTCATTTTTTTTAAATTCTGCACATCACTGTTTTTTTTTTCTTGAATCACCATGACCACTTCACTGGTTTGAAGTGGTCATGGTGATTGGAATCCTAATGTGCAATATTTCTATTTGCAATGCTGCACATACAGATAAATCTGCACTTTTGTGCTGGGGGCTAGTTGCACACCCAGCACACATGACTTAGGCAGCCCGGGACTCTGTCCCAAACTGCCTAATATCAATTGTGTACAAAAATGACATCTGTCGTCAACATACACTACGTTCTGGCCACAGATGTAATGAGATTCTCTCTTGCAGGCTGCATTCATCTCCCCTCACCCCTCACTCCTTCATTTAAGTCCTCCCTGAATCCCTATACCATCCATTAGTTTTTTTTAAATAGTAATTTTCTCCTCCCCCACTCCTACTGGCCCTTACTTGTTCAGAGTGCATGCATGCGCTCTGAGCTGGTGAAACACTCAAATCATATGCTTTGATATAAGAAGCATTTGATTGGATCTTGTGATGACTCTGGTGATGTCATATGGAATTTGAGAGGAGTGCTGGGAGATTTGCCCGGGGCTGGATTTCAGGTAAATTATTGCTTTGTTTTCTACGTTTTTATAGAGTCCGTGGAGGGTGGGGGAACCTAAAAAATAATGCCTAGTAAGCATAATGAATTTGAAGAAAAAAAACCCAATGGCATAAAAGGAGTAAGGAAAGTAGAAAGTTTTAACTCACCCTCAACAAACTATATAGTGATTGTGTTCTGTGCTCAAACTTAAATAACACATAACAAACCTATATTAAATACTATACCCTGTTTATGTGTATTGTTTAGGAATATACAATCCAAATCAATCACATTTTTTGTATTCAGTACATAAAAGAAATATTGCGATGGTTTACTATTACAAGGATATTATTGAAGTAGCACGTTAAGATATTAGGGGCATGATAAGATACAGTGGCATACTGGACTGTTTTTCAGTAATATGTGTGCCACGATTAATTATGTTGATACATTGAGATTCTATACAATAACCATGTGAGGTTCTAGTAACCACCAGCAAAAATATGAAGCGAAAGTGTTATGCTGTAAAACTATGAAGATTTGATATGAAGTAATAAGTGTTTTCTTTTCTTTCAGAAAATGAATGGTGAGCATGGGGTAAGTTCTAAGAATTATTTGAAGTGATTTTCAAGTATTTTGGTGAATAGGCAACTGTTTCTTTCAGCTCTGATCACTTACCTCTTTTTTTTTTTTCTTGCAGTGCTGCAGTTACGAGTGTCAGGTAAGAGAGTCTAACATTCACACGTGCTGGTTCAAACGAAACTAATGACCATTGTAAAAGTATGTTTATTTAATTAAAATTACATTTCTACAACAAGTTGTCACACATTGGAGGAATAAAAAATATATTTTAAAAAAGATTGTTTATACCTAGTTTTGGAAAGATATGGAAAAGGAAAAGAATAAAATAACATACAATACATTGAAAAGATTGATTTACGTTCTAAAGCATTAACCAGCAAATCAATGTTAATTAGGCATTGATTGCTTAAGACCCTACAAATAAGTTTAAATTGATTTCTTCATTAAAAAAATGTGTCCAAGCAGAAACTGCAAGTGACATTTTTGACAATTTTATATTAGGCCACATCCCTTAATTTCCTATGTAAATTCAGGCAAGTTAACTACAACACTCCAGTCCAGTGGAACTGATTTCTGCTTACCTACACTGAGTTAAAGCATTATGTTAAAGAGCATTATTGTATGTGCTCTATTTTTTTCACTTATTGATATTGATATTTAGCTGTCTGCCTTGTCTCACTGTTCTCTTTTTATTTACCTTAGGCTCCCCGAGGACCTACTGGAGATATAGGTCCAGCTGGTGCTGACGTGAGTGCCATGATAAAGTATTTGTATTTATTTTCTTTTTCTTTTTGTAATATTCTGTAGTGCTGATTGCTCATTTGTTTTTATTATGTATATATTTACAGGGAGAGCACGGGAAACCAGGACTCCCAGGAGATAAAGGACCACCTGGTGATCCAGTGAGTAAATAAGTCAGAGAGGTGTCATTGGCGAAAGCTATTTTACACTAAAATGATATACCACTGTTTTGCTCTGTACTCTGCTTTAAGTGTCAAATCATCACACCCATTTGTAATTTGTTTTATAATTGATCAATAATGTGCCTTTTTTACAGACTACTGTGTTGTGTCAAATATTAATATTTAGGTAACGGGAACAACCAGTATATTCCTTAGTGTAAAACACCACATTTGAACAAAATACAGCTATAACTTTAATCTGCCATATTCCTGATTTTCCCTCTGTTTGATAAAAACATTACACTAAAAAAATCAGTAGAATGTGGGCCAATTGTACTAAATAATAAATCATTATTTTGTCGTGAACTATCTGTTGTTTGCAGTCCTTCCTCATAAACTTGAGCCAAGCTTTTGGCTTCCTCTCTTACGTACTTTTTATTCCTAAAGTTAAGGACTGGCCATTATGAAAATTATTAACCAATTATTAATAAAAACTTGGAATGCAAAAGAAGCCATTACGACCAAGTGCTTTCAAGAGCGCAGGCATGATCATCTTAGATGGTAGAATGTTAAGCGTCAAAGGTCATAATAAGACCTACAGAGTTACAATTGGCAAAAGCTGTAAAATTATCAAATTTAAACATGGTACCACTCCATATCAAAAAATAAAGTGTCAAAAGAATGAGTTTAGAGAACCACTGTTTTTGGATGCAAAAATATAGTGGCCTACATTTACAGGAGAAATTTACACTAAATCTAAAAGCCTACTTTTGGTGCCTGTAAGAAAATGTCTGCAATTCTCCCTGGGTTGAATTTTTTTTTTGTTTTTGACAATCTTGATATGTTTCCACAGGGAAGGCAAGGAGATATTGGACCTGAAGGGTACCAGGGAATGAAGGTCAGTGTCATTGTTCCCCACATTCTAGTTAATCTCTGGGAGGGTCTAGGATGGACTTTTACATTCTTTCTTATTTTCTCCTTTTCTCTAGGGAGACCAAGGTGTCAGAGGAGAGAAGGTGAGTCATCCGAAATGTGTCTAATGTGATTGCTCTGTATTACCAATATGACTGTAGACTGTATTTTACTGGGAAACAATTAAAATTTCAAAGAGGCCAGTTATCATATGGAAGCAGAAGTGCTTTTGACCTGTTAGAGCACCTACAATAGACACTGAAAGTTCAGTCAGCCACATGTTATGTACGTTAAGGCTTTTGTGTAAGGGGGTAGGCATTTTGAGGACACCATGGGTAGAATTTACAAGTAATAGTAAAAATAATCAGCAGATACAAAATATGACAGACAATGAGTGCATAGTAGCACAGAGGCAGACAAAGTAGGGGATGCATTATAAAACAACAAAAGGTTGTTGAGCAATGAAGTCAGTATACTGTTTGAATATTGTAGAACTACAATATTCTACATGCTAAACAGAGAGAGAGAGTATATGGGCCGTAGGGAAAGGAACATCATCGGGAGTCAAAAATGGTGGGAGGACTTTTGAAAAAGCTGGGATTTATGGATTGTAAGAGGAAACATTTGATACAGACAGAGGTCAAGAGAGAACAAAGTCATAGAGACTTAATGATGGGAAAACAGGGACAGAGATAGTAATTGGGAAAAATATTTGTATATAACTTAATCATTATGCCATTAAGCTCTGTTTTCTTACAGGGTTTCAGAGGCGGCAAAGGTGCAAAAGTGAGTATTAACCAGTACATATAATGACTTAATAATATCACAACATTTTATTTACTAAATGTCTCACTTTACTTTCTTCTTGTAATCTAAATTCTTACTGTGTTTCTAATTATTAACAGTCAGGATTCCTGGTAGTGATGGTGTAATGCATGTATGTTATTATATATATATGCATGTTATTGTACAGTAATTAGAGGACAAATAGTTTAAGCAGTAGAATAAATTACTCTATCACTGTTGGCTGTGACAGAAGAGCCCATACATATTAGAATTAAAGGGTTCCTGTCCTGGCAATTACAACGTAATCTTAAATTATAGAGAATCAGATTCCATCTATACGTTGGGCTAGCAGAATTTCTTTCAGAAATGTCTAGATTTCTTAAAAATCAGAGATTAAATACCAGCCCTTTAATCCTCCTCGCAATTAAATATATTGGTTAGAGATAATTATTCAGAATAATATTCAGAATGGTAGGAATCTTCTGTAATAAGTTGGAATGAAAAATATAGCTTGGCAGTAAAGTAACTATTTAGAAATGAGAGTAAGGAAACCAATGTTAAAAAAAGAGAATAGAAGGTTACATGGGGACAGACTAGAGCAGTTTGCAAGTTCCGGAATGGAGGAGTAACAGTGAGTTGCAGATGTTGCCCAAAGAAGAGTGGAGGCAGTAAAGAGGTTTAGTGAGATATGAGTCTTTGCATGGTGGAAGCAATAATTAAACAATGGTGATGTTTACCAAGTAGACAAAGACAAAATCTATATGAACTGTAGTGAGTACAGAGTCTTTGAAAAAGTGGAAACAGGTATGAGGCAATTATGGAGTTTTCCATGAGTTGAGCACTTGACATAAATTCCGTTTGAATGAGACAATGGATTTGACTCAGAAGCTGAGGTCTGTTACCGGTATTGTAGAATAACTGGTGGATGATCTGTGAGCAAAGTCACATAGCAGGAATCAAAGTCTGAAGCCAATGAGGAAGCAGGCACACAAGAGTGATCTGTAAGTCATTGATGAGAACCAGGGCCTGAAGCCAATGATGAAAGACCTGGGTGATCTGCTAGAGTGGTCAAGAACAAGAGCCAGGGTCTGAAGTCAATAATGAAGGACAAGGATGATCAACAAGAGTAGTCAGGAGCACGAGATAGGCTCTGAAACCAATGATGAAGTTACTTTGGGTCCTCACAAGCTAAAGCTGTGAAGGAATAGAATTTCACATTGCAAGGCAGTATAAGGAACTCAATAACCGGGCAATAAAAGACGCAATGGGCAAAATTTAAATAGACAATCATGGCTACAGCATCCTGAGACAATTAAGCATTTGATCATTACATCACAGAGCAAGTAAAATATAAGTTAATCCTTACTGCGGGGACATTCTGACATTAATGATTTTTTCAGATAACTATGAGTAATAGTCCAATATATTTTTATGGTTAAACCTGTCCAGATTGTTTTGTACAGTCTGTCATCTCTGGACATATGCCAGAGGATAGATGCTCAAGCCTTATAATTTTTGACAAACATCCATTACTTCTTCTCCAAAGTAGACAGTTCACTTGCATGATGAGGCATTTGGCTAGTTTACATACAGGGACTACCTGATAAAAATCCAATGAACAGAAATGTGGTTAACAGAAACCACAGTACAAATGAAATAGATACCAAAGTTGCAGAGTAAACCAATAGAAAGAAAGGATAATGTTCATGGCTGGCAGGCAGCACAGAAGCCAGTTAGATACAAATAACAAGATTAAAGTCATTCAGAGGAATAGTATAACCAGGCTAACAAAGGGAGCAGATAGAGATTGATGAATACATTTGAGATTATATGTAGATCCAACCTGTTACAATTTGGGTCTTCATATTTCAATATGGTAGCGGCAACATTAAAAAAAGTAATGGTTTGAGATATTTCGACTTGGTAAACCATCCCTTGACAGTGGTTCCTGTTCTGCCTGTGTGTCAAATCTCTTCCACTATTTACAGACAATGCATCTAACTAGTATCTGTTCGTGTAGAAACATAGACATAGAATCATAGAATGTGACGGCAGATAAGAACCATTCGGCCCATCTAGTCTGCCCAATTTTCTAAATACTTTCATTAGTCCCTGGCCTTATCTTGTAGTTAGAATAGCCTTATGCCTACCCCACGCATGCTTAAACTCCTTTACTGTGTTAACATCTACCACTTCAGCTGGAAGGCTATTCCATGCATCCACTACCCTCTCAGTAAATGAATACTTCCTGATATTATTTTTAAACCTTTGCCCCTCTAATTTAAGACATTTAATGTCCTCTTGTTGTGGTCGGTTTTCTTCTTTCAAATATAGTCTCTTCCTTTACTGTGTTGGTTTCCTTTGTATTTAAATGTTTCTATCATATCCCCCCTGTCTAGTCTTTCCTCCAAGCTATACATGTTAAGATCCTTTAACCTTTCATTGTAAGTTTTATCCTGCAATCCATGAACCAGTTTAGTAATCCTTCTCTGAATTCTCTCTCAAGTATCAATATCCTTCTGGAGATACGGTCTTCAGTACTGCGCACAACCCTGTTGCATATCTTAGTATCATCAGCAAAAAGACATACCTTAGCATCAAGACCTTCTGCAATATCACTAATAAAATATAAAAGAGAATGGGTTCAAGTACAGATCCCTGAGGTACCCCACTAGTGACAAGCCCATGCTTCGAATATACTCCATTGACTACAACCCTCTGTTTCCTGTCACTCAGCCACTACCTTACCCATTCAACAATATTGGAATCCAAACTTAAAGATTGCAGTTTATTGATAAGCCTTCTATGTGCAACAATATCAAAAGCCTTACTGAAATCTAGGTAAGCAATGTCTACTGCACCACCCTAATCTATTATTTTAGTTACCCAATGAAAAAAATCAATAAGAATAGTTTGGCATGATCTCTCTGAAGTAAACTAATGTTGTCTGTGATCTTGAAATCCATGGGATTTTAGATGTTCAACAATCCTATACTTTAACATGGTTTCCATTACTTACCCCACTACTGAAGTAAGACTTACTAGCCTATAGTCGCCCAACTCCTCCCTACTACCTTTCTTATGAATGGGCACAACATTCGATAACTTTCATGTATCTAAATTATCAGCAAATAATCAGAAACTTTAGAAACCTCTAACTCTCAATTGCATTATGTTTTTTCCTTTCTTTTTGTTGTGTTCAACCAATAACCAATAAATCTATTTGACTTCTTTTTAGTCATATTTCTATTTACCCTTTAACTGAGATCCACTGACCACTCACTCCAAATTATCTAAATACCTTTTTTCACAATTCTCACTGCTTTCCCTGTCATGTTAATGTTTTTCCATCCAATGAAATCCAGCAGAAATGCTTGTTTCTCTCTCTAACATATATTTAATCTTGTGCAGGGTGAAAAAGGAAAAAGAGGAATTGATGGAATCGATGGGCAGAAGGTCAGTATGAAGTCATGTTCATGCAATAAAATCTTACATTCTCACACATACTCATATTTGCTATTTTCATTGCTTTGTCAAATGTACATTTTATGGATACATTCTGATTCTTTCTGACAGGGGGATGATGGATTCCCTGGACTTTCTGGTTGCAAAGGATCTCCTGGATTTGAAGTAAGGAATAAGTAGGACTACAAGAGCAATTTGTATGACTAACCAAAAACGTCTTGCAAAGGATACCATGTAACGTCTTATTTTGCTGAAATGATTATGCTTAACATGATGGAGGATCTGATGATCTTCAAAGTTAAATGTATTGATCTAATTTCTTAATAGGGAGAACCTGGAGGCCCTGGACCAAAAGGAGATCCTGGCTCATATGGACCAAAAGGAGGCAAGGTAAGTCCCCCTATTCATATAATGAAACTCATAAACAGAGAACTCTATTTGCATACATGGGCAATACCAGACATCTAGAGATACAAAATAAAACTGGAGGTAGATTAATGATACTTCACAGACAGAGAAACATGTCCCATGTAAAACGAAAGACACATAGAAAAATGAATGTGGGAGAGGTATATGCAAAAGTACCAAAATAAAAAGTGTGGCCTTACAATACAGGCATCTGTCAACTGAATCATATTTTTTTTTTTCAGGGTGAACCTGGAACCCCAGGGATTCCAGGCAGAGCTGGAAGTACTGGGAATCAAGGTGATAAGGTAAGATGACTCAAGGATTGAAGGGACAAATAATTAATTACCTAAAAAATCGACCTTCTAGTCCATGCTTTGTGGCAGGCTTCCGGAAGGACTTGAACAGAAACCTTGCACTAAAAAAAAGGACCCAATAATATTTTATGTCTTACTATCACGTAGTTGGAACTAAAGGTCAATTGCATCGTCAATTATTTATGATCATTCTTTGGCTATGTGGAGCGGTTAAAGCTACCATGATCTCAGACCTAATTGCAGATTTGAAATCCATCACCTTTACATAATCTATTAGACCTTAGAAGTTGATTCAGAAATAAAAAAATAAATAAACAAATGATCTTGAAAAATAAATCACAAGTCTAATGAAAAAAACATTACCTTTCAACTTTGAGTTTCTGAAAATATGCTGCATAATTTCATCGGATACATTGAATTTTGTTGGTGAATATTGATTGCAATTTACCTGTTTTATAGGGAGACCCAGGAGAGAATGGCCCACCAGGAGAGAAGGGGGAGTCTGGAGATGAGGTATTTTGATGTGTTGTCTTTACATACTGATCCAATCAGACGACTTATGGCAGTACTGATACGTGTTTATCTTTCTTTGTCATTATAGGGGGATGCTGGACCAGATGGACCTCCTGGTGAACGGGTAAAATATTTACATAATTATTTAATACTGTTTAAATTTGAGGTGCTAGGTGTTGTCATAATAGAAACAATTGTAGTTGCCACTTTATTGAGAAGCCTGGCAACATGTATTGTTTAATGTTTGAAATCTATGCTATAGAAAGTTAATGACCGGAAAAAGTAATGCCAACTATTCAGTAAAAATACTGATAGAATACTCAATAAGATACATATTACTGTATTAAAAACGTCAAGTACAATGGGTTGGGAAAATATGATAACAGGCCATAGAATAATTTCAAAATGTTAACATTTTTAAAGAGTATGATTATAGAAAAAAAATAGAGGAGACCGAGTTAACTGTTTGAACATATTATCTGCTGCTCAAATAAAAAATAAAGAAAAAAATAAGGCAAGAAGACAATACAAACTGAGATGGAAAAGTTACATCTCTTAAAAAAGTATACTGACTACTCTAGGAAAATATTAATTACTTCCCAATGAAATACTGACTGCCGTAGATAAATAATTGACACAGGTTAGCAAAGAACACACTTGTTGCTCTTGCTAAATATACTTTATGATCCAGAAATATGGTGGTAACTTTTCTAGAAAATGAAAGTATTCTGCAAGCAGACAATTTTGACAGTAATTGCTTTGGCCAAAGAATGGCTACTGCTTGGAAAAAAAGTAAAACCTAGGGGGGGAAAGAGAGTTCTTGATCTATATTGGATTTTCCATGGGACATGCCCGGTTAAGGTCTGGGAAATTGTTTTCACAATAGCATTCATGCTATTATAGTCTCAAGGGCATCATCTCAAAAGATAAGCTGTTATTCATAGTTTATCTTCATTTTAATCTTCTACTTTTTCAGTACGACCATTCTGATGTTCTTGTGAAATAATTTTTTCTTGTAGTTTTACACTTTTTTAAGATGTTCCCAAAACATACACCAGTAGCCAAGACAAATAATGATATCATAATGTGTGTCACATAAATAATTTTGTATAGTGGAATATTTTTAGCAATATCAAGAAAAACAATGATCATTTATCTATATTTTGGGGAAACTCAGTTGCAGGGAGGGAGTAGGTAATATTTTTTGCTTTTAATTTCCTTGATTTGTAATTCTGTTAATTAAAGGGGCACTCTAGAATTAAGTCAACCTCCTTTTTGATACATTATGGAAATTGTAATTAAAATCTTGCCCCCCCAAAAAAAGATAAAAAGTTACATCAACTTTGAATTTCCCCCATTTACGATACAAGGAAGTGGCTATAGCTACTAGCCTTTGTTTTGTAAGAGGCCACTTTGCATACCCTTTAAATTCGTACATTGCAGAAACTTGTGGTATATGCATCGGAAATGTCCATTTTCTACTGGATACTTTAAAGTGGGCAGCAAACCTGTCTGTCAGATACGTCCATTTATGAAAAAAAAAATGCTTGGCAAGGGTGTCATGAACTAATAAGGGGTATCTGTGTCAGCTTTATGACATTGCAGAGTGGGGATGTGTGGGAGAGTTCCTTTAATGTTCTGATGATAGTAAATAAATACTGTTCATTATGTCAATAGGGTGGACCTGGTGAACGTGGCCCTCCTGGAGTCTCTGGTGTACGTGGACTTAGAGGAGATAAGGTAATATTTGAAGGAATATGTACGATTTATGCACAGTCATTGGAAGTGTGTTGTAAGAGATGTGAAGTTTATGTTCATATTTTTGGTGGTAGTGACTCTTGTAAAAATATGAATATATCATATAATAGCTTGTCTGTTTGAGATGTATACTGATAAGTCAGGATATTAAAAATTTTTCTGCAACAAAGTGTCTTAAAGTGCATCTGTAAATTTATTATGTTTAACTGTTAATTGATCATTACTTTGTTGGCACAGAATACAAGGTATAGTGTGGCAACTATATGCTATATATTGTGATTTTATGTGTTGTACTTTACTATCTCAGTCAATTTTAAGAGTCTTGACATTTCTTTGCCAACTTTAGGGTGAACCAGGACCACAGGGTGAACAAGGAAGAGACGGACAAGCTGGATTGTCCGGCGATCCAGTAAGTCAAGCTTTATCTATATTGTGATAAATGGACATTGTTACTCTTAGCTATAGTAACACAGATTCATTAACTTAACATTTCCTCACATCTTAATACTAGACTGGATAGAACCATCTCTTTAGGCAGAAAATTCCATATCTTACTGTAAAGAATAATTTCCTCTGCCACAGGCAAAATCTCTTTTCATCAAGTCTAAATCTTAAATTGTGTCTTTTGTAAAGTCCTACTAACGAACAGGTAACCAGGGAACTGTTCGTACTGGTCATGTAACTATTTGTATGATATTATCAATTCCCCTCTAAAACACTGTTTTCTAATGAGACCAAGTTTAGAGTGTCTATCCTTTCATCATAATTCTTCCATTCCCCTTATTAATTTTGGAGCCCTCATCTACACTTTGTCTAGTTCCATAACATTTGTTGTTAAAGGGACACTCCAAACCATGAAAACAGTTCAGCTTACTAAAGCCTTTTAGGGTTTTACAGAGTGGCCCATCTTTCATACTTTGTAAAAATGCAGATTTCAAGGGAAATCTTCACTTTAGTAAATTGCTAATTTGCACACTCTCAGCTGTCAATCGATGTAAGTCAGTGTATTTATTTATAACTCTGAAGTTCTGTTAAGATGCATGTATAAAATGGCAACACATTATCAAAGTGATCATTTTATAGAAATAAATTATATTTTCAGCCCTGTGAATTCATTTTATGCTTGATTATATATAAATGGCTTTAGTAATTGCTGTCTGACATTGCACATTGTTGTTTACAACTCAACTCATGTCCTTTGCATTTATTGTTTTCTATTTCTCATTAATATGTAGAAAATAAGTTGCTTGTGTGTTCCTTACTATAAAAACAAAATGTACACTTATCTACATAAACTCTTATCTGCCAGTTGGCTGCCAAATCCCCTAATTTATCCAAATCCCTCTGCAACTAATTAATATTCCAATACACCACATTGTTTAGTAAGAAAATGTACTACTAATTGCATTGTTGTCCAGAATTAATTCCTGTATATAATCCCAGAAAAAGTGTTCATATAATTTCCCAATCATGGATATTAAGCTCATATGTCTGTAATTTTTGGACAGAGATTTTAATTCCTTCTTATATATGGGTACTACATCTGCTTTTCTCTAATTTTCTGGCATGTTTCATGAAAGAACAGAATTAAAATCAATGATTTGGATATTACCAAAGTAAACTCCCTAATTACTCTTAGATGAATAGTATCTGGTCCTGGGACTTTGTTTTTTACATTTACATTGTTTTCTATAGTACTTTGTCATGTGTTTTATTTTGCCATTATAATTAAAGGTATTTTTAGAGGTGATTTGCATAACTAAAGGTATTAGTCCTTCGTTGCTTTATAATGAAAACAATACTTAAAACTATACTAAAACCAAATCCTGATCCGCACTTACTAACATACTCACCTCTGATTTCAATGAGCCAACACATTTACTATTGAATACTGCAAAATTTGTGCTCTTAAATTTTTTTTGTAGGTTTGTATTGACCTCTTTTTACCCAGATTTCATTTTCTAGTTTAACTTACTTAATTGCCCCTTTGCAAGTACTATTGGCATATTATATTTGTTTACAATGCCTCTGATCCATCTATTTTAAATGTCCTTTTTATGTTTACTTTCTTGACTGACTTTCTACTAAGCCACATTGGTTTTTACTTTTTTATTCTTTTATTTATTACCTTATTATATGTGCTGGAAAGTGTACTTTTCTAATATTCATTAAATAGTTAATTAGTAAAGATGCCCCTTTCCTATTGAAATCAGCCTTTTTATATGTGTCATTTGTTTTAGTAAGCATTATTATCAAGGTCATTTTGATGTTCTTGAATGGCCATATATCCAGGTTTGCCTACCTTAAACTTTTAGTATTGTACACTCCCCTTGTGTAAGTCAGTGCCAATGTGTAATAAAGAGACAGTTGGCTTTTAATAGTAGGTAATAAAAGAAAAAAAGGCTAATTAAATTTGTCATTCCTATTCCAATGCTTAACGTGATCTACATGAAATCCTCAATAAGGGATCTTTAGTAACAAAAGTAAGCTTAACCATGTTTCATCTTCAGAGTAGGACATCTTCCTACAGCTGAGATGAGAAGCAATGGTCTTTTTTGTACTCACTTTAGCTAAGCATAAACTAATTTTTTTCTTTACAAGCTTCTGGTTCACACAGCTCCTCTCCCATCCCCATGCAATGTGACATCGAACACGGAAGTCAATGTCAAAGATCTGTTGATCTACCACTATATGCCTATATTACTTACTTCCAGCAGCCTCTTTTCTGAGAAGTATATGAATTATGCTGATGTCAGATGGTAACAGAGGACAAAAAATATATCTATAAAAAATGCTACATACAGGTCAGATTTCTTGTCCAATCTTGTTTACAATCCAAAATGCCATCTGTCTCATTATCCATCATTATACATTAGAGCAGAGCCACCATCTGCTTGGTGTGTTCTTCACCACAAAACACCAATCACCGAACAGGACTTTTTCCAGTTTTAGAAATCTACCTTATATTAGGCTGGCTTACATATTGAAAGCTCTCTCTCTCTGTTTTTAGCTTGTTCATATGGAGAATTAAAATCAACTGGATCACTTGAGTCCATATTTTTTCATTATGGATGATAGTTTTCTTACAATGATATAATTTAAATTATTTTTAGTTTGGTATATATCTCTTTCAGTATGACAGAATTTTATTTTAGGTTTCATTTTAGAACTTACATTATAAATTAGTAGCACATATAATTAAAAACATTGTCATTTCCAAGGTTTTAAAACAACCTTTGGAGAGCCAATTGTACAAAGAGTATCAAAATGGACACATTTCACAGATGTTTATCTCAGTTTATCTATTTGCATATCAGACTAATCCTACCCCTAAAGTCCAGATCTGAAATAATGGCCAGCTCCCTCTGGATAAGAGATACGGCAACTTTAGGTGAAATGACGTGGATTTATTTACCAAGACTTTCCCATATGTAAAAAGAACTGACCAACATCAATCCATGGCAACAAGTTGGAAAGGATTTGGACATTGGAAAGATGTTTACGTGAGATCCTAAAACCTCTCTTTTTATTACAGTCATAGCATTATTATTATTATTGCCATTTACATAGCGCCAACAGATTCCGTAGCGCTTTACAATATTATGAGAGGGGGGATGTAACTATAAATAGGACAATTGCAAGAAAACTTACAGGAATAGATTGAAGAGCACCCTGATCAAACGAGCTTACAGTCTATAGGAGGTGGGGTATAAGACACTTTAGGACAGGAAATATCTATCAAATAGGGTGGGAGTGAAGCAGAGCTGGAGGAGAGAGTAGAGTGCTGTCTTTTAGATAGCTGCCCTTTAGATAGCATCTGTTTTAATGTTCAAAGAAAGGCATAGAAAATAGAATATACAATTGAGATGGAAAGTACCAAAATACTTTGTTGGTATATCCATGCAAGATAAAACACAGTGCTTAGACACAGCATTATATAGATTTACAGAATTGACAAAATAATGTTCAGTGCCTTCACATTGCATTAATAAGTATGCCTTTTCTAGAAGGGAAAAAAATTGTTGTTTTTTATCAGTAAATAATGTGCAAATATATTCCTGGACCTGGAAGTTATCCATCTATAAGTGGTTGAAACCTCTTAATAGAGTCAATTCATGTTGTGATCTTCAAAAAGTTTCACATGTTAGCTTGCACATTTAAGGAAGTGTAGGGATTTCTGAATAGCTATCGGGTCACCAGGGAGTCCTGTGTTTGATGGAAGACAGCTTTGAATTTCCTTCTCAAAAGCATTGCTTTGGAAACAGTGATAATGTTATTGAGTTACAGAATAGAAAAAACTGCAACTTTTATATCCCTTTTTATATGTATTCTGTAGCGCACCATAGACCATAATTACATTCTTGTGACAACAAAATAAACACATTTGCAAACTCGAATTCACCTCCTGTGCAAAACTGCAATACAGAGACCTGAATCAAATTAAATCCTCTTTAAAAGGACATGCAGGCACTGTAACTGCTTCACCTCATTGAAGTCTCTGGTGCTGTCTTTCTGTTCAGCATTAAACTGTTTTTAATATTTTATTGCTGAACGAGAATCCCAGCAGCCCATCCCTTCTGTGTTGCTTGGGCTAATGAGTAAGCATTAGCCTGAGTAGCAATGGACTACTGCGATTGGCTTTGAGTGCCCACGGTGTCCGTTTAAATTAAGTAGATCAAGGAATTCTTCAGAATAGCTTTTTAATATTGATTATATAAAATGGCATCAATGGGAAAAATAAACAAAAATAGTCCATATTGTCTATTGACTATAATGAAAGTGTCATATAGGAGGTTAATGACATCTTGTTTGATGTGTGTTTCATTGTCATCCCAGACAATTTTAGAGTTTAATGGTGTGTATGTAACTACTTGCTATGGACAAGTGATGCAGAAGTAAAAAGTATAAAGCCATATAAATTTTTATGACGATCCAATTTGTATCCAAATGAATTGTGTATTTGAAGTAATGTTTTGGTAACGCATTGGTAGCCAATAAGAAATGGAAATTGAAACCAGCTGAAATTAAAGCTGTTCTTTACCTTGTAACTAACCATGCAAAGATAACAAATTTTCCAAGATTTTAAATATTTCTGCATGGGATAGAAGGAGGGAGTAAAAGCCCTAAGATCCTAGAGTGATCCTGAATGCAGTTCACATCTATAGAGGCACATCAACATACAAAGATATTTTAAGTCCTGGAAATGTTATCTTTGCAATATACTGGATTTATGTTTTGTCTACACAATTCCTATTGAGCACACAGACATACATACACACAGACACATACATGCACACATACACACAGACAGGCATACATACAGACAGACAGGCACACATACAGACAGACAGGCAAAGACACATACACACATACATACATAGACACATACACACAGAGACATACAGACACATACATACAGAGGCATACAGACACACATACATACAGAGACATACAGACACACACACAGACAGACACATACACACAGACAGACACAAAAACACATACATACAAACAAAAACACACATATACAAAATGTTTAAGTCATCCTCCTGTTTCCTACCTTTTAGGTGCAGGAGGGTGACTTTCCCTGGGGTCCAGTGAGGGTTCAGGCCGGTGGGAGTCAGAGTTCCCACTCTGACTCCCTCTCCTTCCTCTCGCGTGGGCTCTCTCTCTGATAGCTGGGATGAGTGACATGCAGTCACTTCCTCCCAGCTGTGATGTCATCAGCGCGACCGGGGCCCCCTGGAAATTCATCTCTATCGGGTGGCCCTAACAGCATGGGCCACCCGATGGGCCCCTTGAACGTGCGGCCCCCGGCGGTTTGCCGTGCAGGCCGGGGCCACAACATATGGCGGCGGGCACCTGGTCTCAGGGGTCCACAGGGCGGCTGGGCCCCCTGGAGTGACGGGCCTAGTCGCAGCTGCGACCCCCTGCGACCGCGGTATGTATGCTACTGGTATTATGAGTGGCTAGGAGTTGTAGAGAGTGTGTGTGTATAGGAGGTATCATGTGTATAGGGTCTGTAAGTGTACGTGTGCATGGCTGATTTAGTGTGTGTAAAAGCTGTAGAGAGTGTGTTTAGGGAATCTAGTGTGCACATAGAGAATCCAGAGTGTGTATATCAGGAATGCAGAGTGTGTATAGGTGCTGCAGTGTGTGTCTATAGGGGATTTATTGTGTGTGTAGGGGATCTGGTATGTATGTCGGGGATCCAGAATGTGTATAGGGGATGTAATGTGTGTGGGGATCTAGTGTGTGTAGAGGATCCAGACTGTGTATAAAGAATGTAGTGTGTGTCTGGAATGTAGTGTGATCCTCTGATCTCCCTTGTCGGCTTCGGCCAATAGCCATCGCGACCCACTGTGCATTTTCCCGGTTAACACGGTGGCTAGTCCAGGCCATGCCAGAAGAAAAGGACATACTGGCCTCCTCAAATTTTCAGATTTGCAGGACACAACAAACAAGTCCTTGAAATACATTTCCCGATGTCCGAACATTTAAAGATTCACCTCTTGTGCCAAGGGGCAGATTAACATAGGGACTAATGAAGCTGATGCTCCAGGCCCATTGATTAAAAAAAATGTTCTTGCTGTGTGCAGATTGAATTAGGTATAGAAACTTAGAAGGGATACAAAGGAACAAAACTAGTGTGGACTGGTTGACTATAAGATAACAGAAAGCTTACTTTGCCCACTGTACAAATGCTTTGCTGCTTCTGCTACATTCACTACATCCACCTTTTTGTCTGCCTCAGACTGCTTACCAGGAGTTGAGAGAGTGGACAAGTGAGTGCTGGGGGACACCATGGAACAGAACCATGCAAGCGCATCATTAGATGCTTTTGCAGCAAGCTCTAGGTGTTGTAACAGTGCTGTTTTCATAGTCATCCCTTAGTTGGTGGGCCTCCATGATTGGCAGGCAGCCTGACATGCATTCATGCCTCTCAATTCTTAGGGAAGACCCATTCCAAGCAGGTCTGTCACTTTGGGCGGTGCTAGTGATGTGAGTTGCATCACTGGCCTACCTCCTTTTACCACACCTAACGTACTGCTTTATCAGACCCTGCTGTTTGGGGGTATGGATTTGGTTGAGAGATGAAAGTGAGAGATTAGCATAGGGTATGCGTATTCTTATAAATATCTTCTGTGAGTTTCCTCCAGCACCACCCCCATTAGATACAAGACACTTGGGAGGAACAGCTGTTTTACTGTTTTCTTTTGAGTCTGTAATTAGGCCTACTATATTGAAACATTGGATATTGTTTGAATATGTTGCTGTTTAATTTTATATTATTTAAATATGCTGTTGCTGAACGGAAAAACTTGTGTATCAACTTAAATGCGTGATCTAGGCTACAGAATATTATGTAAAAGTAATAATTTGCATATTGTAGTTTTACCAAATTAGGCAGTAGTTAGACACTCATTGAGTGATTTTTTTTGTAAATAATTATTCAATGTCTGGGTGTGTCCATCTTTTAGAAATGTTCAGATTTACATGTTTTGCCAGCCTATGCCATTAGTATTGCAGTCTGTCAGTGTATTACATAGTTACATAGCTGAAAAGAGACTTGTGTTCATCAAGTTCAGCCTTCCTCACATATGTTTTTGCTGTTGATCCAAAAGAAGGCAAAAAAACCCAGTCTGAAGCACTTCCAATTTTGCAACAAACTAGGGAAAAAATCCTTCGTGACCCCAAAATGGTAGTCAGATATCTCCTTGGACCAAGCAGCTAATTAGAAAATATATTCCTATATGTTATGTTTTTGGAAGTATTTATCCAATTGCTGTTTAAACATCTGTATAGACTCTGACAAAACCACCTCTTCAGGCAAAGAATTCCATATCCTTATTGCTCTTACTGTAAAAAAACGTTTTCTTTGCCTTAGATGAAATCTCCTTTCTTCCAGCCTAAATGCGTGACCTTGTGTCCTATGCATAGCCCTGTTTATGAATAGATTTCCAGATAATGGTTTGTACTGGCCCCGAAAATATTTGTATAATGTTAGTCCTTAAGGACCCTGCTCTGGAAATAATTCTTCTTGGATCACTTACTGAATTTGGTTCCCTCAAGCTATGTCCTGGAACCAATATAATTTGTGGCTCTAATCAGTGTTTCTCTCCTTGATGCTTAATCTGAGCTTTCCTTCATGAAACTTGAGCGCAATATAACATTTTGTTGGTAATTCTTCAGGACTCTTCAAGCTTAAACAGTCAATGATATAACAAAACTTACTTTCATCAACAACAGCAAATGAATACCATAGGCTTTGGATTTTCCTATGCATCGGTTACTTTCTGTTTTTTTGTTTGTTTGTTTGTTTGTTTGTTTGTTTGTTTTTTTTACAAAAAATAACCCTTGTTTACATATCTATCTTGGCTGTCCTTTCAACATCCCTTTTAAAAAATATAATTTTTTTGCTTGTTTTATATGAATGTCAAGCAATATAATGAATTTGTGACTTTTTTTTCCTTTTTGTCAACTCCAGTTTCCAGTTTTTGTTAAAAGTATTAATTTTGGACATCTGGAACTTTTCTTTCCTAGTGTGATGTCCTGAAGTCATTCTTGTAATATATCACTGTGTTATTTTGTGTTTTTAGCTGGATTCTTGGCATTTATCAACATATTTTTTTTTTGCTCTGAGCATTTTTATCCATCAGAGCACACAGACTTCTGTCATTGCCTCCCCCTATAAACTGCATTCTCCTCCGTCCACATCCAGAGAGTTCTGCACATTTTCACTCTCACTGTATCGTTTAGTGTCTTCAACTTTCTTTCTACTTATCTATTTAAGCAAGACAGCTTCCCTATCTCTCCTTTAGATTCCTCAGATCTCCCCGATAGTCCATCCTTACATTATTCATCCATAGGTTAAATATGAGACATATTCATTCAGTACCATGAAACCAGTTTTTTCTTTAATGCAGGGGTCTCCAGCCCTCTCCTATTATGTACTCTTGTCCTGGAGGTGTTACTAGAATGTATTTTTTAAATTAATTTATTGATTATGCTTTATCTGTTCTTAGTAGGTTCAAAGATTTATTCATATATTTTTCTGCAGATTGTAAAATCAGTGGGTACCTCACCCAGTTAGAGTTGTGAATAAAAGTGCTATACAGAACAGGCAGTTTTAAAACTGATACCATACTACTGTAGTGAAAACAAGTCAAGGAATTTACTGTGTTTTTAGAGCCCCCTTTAGTCCGTTGATATTGGGCATATAAAGATGGCAACAATCCCCCTTAACAAAAACAATATTGGGATTTTGCCTATATTCCAGACATTGTACAAGCCAAACATGCTTTCACAAAGTTAAAGTCTACCCAAAAAGAACTATATTAAGTGGGGGACTGGAAACTGTGGCTTGGGAGGCGAGTACAAATGAGTAGCCTTTTTGTACATGACACTCATGTTTCTCAATGTGAATGTACCTACAATGAAAACAATATATATGGGTTTAAAGAATGGAGGCTGATAGTGTTTCTGGGTGTGACTTTATATATCCCTCCAGTCTCCATCAATATAACATAGCATTCACAGCAATCTTGTTCTTGTCTGAGTTCTCGATTCTTCATAGAATGAATAAATTGAGATTGGCAGCCACTGTGTCAGGATACAATATGACCCAATACACAGTGCCTAGGTAATGACACAAGGTACAATAAACCTGGGAGAATTATATGTGTTTCCAGACCTTAGATTGCTCAGACTTAACATCAAAATAGAATAGTCTGAGACAAGCCAAAGTCAGGGATATAGAATGAGACAAGTACGATAAGACAGGCCAAAAGGTCAAGATTTATAGAAAGACGAATAGTCCATAACAAGCCAAAGGCAGAAAAGTCAAAGAGAAATACAAGAATAGTCCATAACAAGCCAAGGGCAGAAAAGTCAAAGAGAAATACAAGAATAGTCCATAACAAGCCAAGGGCAGAAAAGTCAAAGAGAAATACAAGATAAATGCACTCTCTGATAACCAGTGAATGGAAACCAATACGGCACAGAAGAAAAGCCGAAATGTGTTTAAATAAGCCTATGAGAGATAGTTCAGTACCGCCCCTGTGATGCCAAAATGTGTGTGCACAAACATGTGGCATGGCACAATTGCTATCTTAAATTATATTCACATTTATATCATTGACACATCGTATGCATGTAAACATGTTAAGGTAACAATGCATATAACACAAGGAAATATCTGATTCTAAAAGTAATCATCATTTCTGTTCCATGGCTTTTTATGGCTCCTGGTTATATCCACCATAAACCTATAAACCCACTATTAAAATGTCAGCCTGTATTCACTGTTAGGGAATTGGTAGTTAGTAACAGAATTTACTACACTTGATTTTTCTAATTCTTTATCATCGCACTTTGTTTATATTTGGTTTTACTGTCTCCAGATGCCTTTTCTTTCTGCTGCTTCCTATTAGTCTGCACAATGGCTCTGTATAATGTCCTGTCATGATAAGCACAGATAATTAGCAAATGGCCCTTATCATTTCGCTTTGTGGTTTCCTCTTTCTCTTTCTTCTTCTCTGAGAACTGTCTGGTTTTGTTAGTTTGAGAAGTGATGTGCAGGGTGGGCTGCAGTCTAGCCAGCACCCCACACATACCATCAGTGGACTGCTATTATAAAAAATAACAATCTTACTAAGTATATGGTTGTAATATATTTAACAAAGCATTCATTAGCATAAGCAGTACATTATGTTGTTTATATTTTCATTACATCAAGGTCGAGACTTTTATACTTGTTTATGTGATAATGTAGATCAGCCAATTTTGATGTTTCTCTTTTCTTGTAGGGCGAAGGTGGACCTCAGGGACCAAAAGGATACAGAGGTGATGAAGGTCCTGCTGGACCAGAGGTTCGTGCCATTTTAAACACTATTGTCACTCACTTGTTTCCTGTCACAAACAGGTAATAATGCATACATCACTCTTGTGCCAGACCACTTAAGTCACATAGAGCACTTCATCTCAATTAAGTAGTCTGGGTGCAGTTGTCTTCTCATTTTAACCCTGCAATATAAAACTTTGCAGCCATTAGAGGCGCTTCCACTGCACTGACCGAGGGAAACTTGGCCAAGTGACTCAAAAGCTCATTGGAAAGCAATAAATACAATGCTTTCTCTATGGAGAAGTTGGGATGTGCGAGCGGCACTAGCTCCCCTGTGGGGAGCATTGGATTGGACTATCACCAGAAAAGTCATGTCTTCTTGTTGACATCATGGGAGGTGGAGGGATCTTGGGGTCTTGGCACTAGACAAAGGGGTATTGGCACTGGATAAAGGTGAATAAAAAGGTTGTTGTTTTTTTAAATTGTACTGCAAAAGAGACTGGTCCCTGGATATTACTAGGGACAAGCCACATGTTTGTATTCCTAATGCCATAGTGTTTCTTTAAAAGGACACTGAAGTCTTGCTCAATTCACTGCCATTTAGGAGTTAATTCACTTTTGTTTCTGTTTATGCCACCCTAGCCACACCTCCCCTGGATGTTACTCATACAGCCTGCCTCATACAGTCTGCATGGAAACAAAATGGTTTCATTTTCAATCAGATGTAACTTACATTAAAAGTTTTTATCTCTTGCTCTGTAAATTGAACTTGAATTACATACAGGGGGCTCCTACAGGGTCCAGCTAGTTATTAATAGAGCAGGAAATAAGAAATTCTACATTCAACTGCATTTGCAAAAAAGGTAGTGTAACCCTTAGATGACTCTTTATAGGAAGTGTTTAGGGAGGCTGTGTAAGTCACATGCAGGGGAGGTGTGCCTAGGGCTGAATAAACAAAGTGATTTATCTGCTAAATTGAAGAGAACTGAGCAGTGAGACTGCAGGGGCATAATCTATATACCAAAACTGCTTCATTAAGCTAAAGTTGTTTTGGTGACTATAGTGTCCCTTTAAGTATCATGTAATAAAAAAGATAGATAATGGCTAAGTGTGTATTGTATACACAAACAAAATATATTATGTTGTAGATCTATGAAAGTAGTGCCTACTTTAATCCCTAATTCCCATTTACCTCAATAAGAACTTGCAGAAAATTTTGTAAACAAATATAGATTTACTAAAGAGACGATAGTCTAGTACCCCTTTACTCATTTATTCCTGTGTTGATGTACTTTACTCACAGCCTACTCACTGTCCTATTATTGAATGATGTTAATGTTCGTACCTGGCTGTAGCTCATTGAGTACATGAATAACTTACCCAGGTTCACGAATATGTATATGTAAAAATCTACATCCATTGAATTCTCTTCTCCGCCACTATAAAAATATTGCAGTAAAGGATCACCAGTGCCAATATTGCCCTACAGGATCAGCTCAATTTCTCATTTTTCAAGTGATGTGCAAGGGGAAAAATCTTTTTTGGTTTGTTAGATTGATTTGTTATTTTCTAAATTCAGTTCTTCCAAAGGCCTAGATTTTATATTGTTAGATAAGTTTTCCAAATGATTTCAAATTTTTGGATGAACTTTTCAAATGACTTTTTCAACATATTAAAATATCTAAATATATGTCAAATATAAAAAAATATGAATATATAAAAATATTACAAAATATAAATAGTTTTCATACTATTAATCATTTTAAAAGTTTCATCCAAAAATATTGAACTGTTTGTAAAGTTTATACAACAATATTAAAATCGAGGCCGAAATTTGACAAATATCGATTCGGACTAATTGAATTTCGGTTCAGAAATGTGTGTTTTCATATTTCCGAAGGCCATATTCTGTAGGCCAAATTTCTAAAGACCATGGTAACAAAGTTACCAAGGAAGTACCAAATTAGGGAGTTATCTGCTAAACTGCTGAAATATAATACAGAACTTAATAAAAGCCTTTTCCTTAATTTTGATCTTATAGCTGTTTCGTTGATAACTCCCTAACTTGGTATCCTTATATGGGATTATGTGGGATATTTAAGGATACTAAATTAGGGAGTTATCTGCTAAACAGTTGAAAAAGGATTGGAAATGCTATCTGTTTGTAAATAATTTGTAAATAACTCCCTAATTTGCTATCCTGGCAAGGGATATTTAAGAATTCCAAGTTAGGGACCTGTCTACTAAGCAGCTAGAATATCAAAATTAAAAGACCTTTTCTTAATTTTGCTCTTTAAGCAGTTTAGCAGATAACCTTTTAATTTGGTATCCTTATCAAAATGAATGGATCCAAAAAGTTTGTTTTACGGTTTGTTTATGATTAGCTTGTGCGCGTTTTGATTTGTTATTTTACTATTTGCATATTCATTTTGTGCAAATTTCTGTTTGGGACAAAACTAATGGCAAAATCCAGAGGCTTCACAGTGTGGTGCAGTAGAAGGAAGTTTATTCAGGATAAAGAGAACAAAACCATATACATATAGGCATGTATACATTGTGAAACATTTGGATTTTGAATACAGGTACCATTTGGTTCCCTGAGTGCAACATTATCTTTTGAATTAGATACACATTGCACATCCTTACATTTTTTCAAGGTCAATAAATAATGCATCATTGAGCTGGGTAGTAAAATGCATACCATAGAACGTATATAAAAATTACGATTAAATAATGTGTTATTAATATCTCAGTATTATCCTATATTGTGTAACCATCCATGATATTTCACAATATAAAATTCATACTGTACCCCAAGCATCATGCTGAAATAAAATGCGTTAATGTGTTTAATGCATCTGTACCACAGACTGTTCCCTACATATGAGTTGTGTGACCGTCAATGTGTCCCGTAATGGGTGTATAGTATTTTGTGCTCTGTGTTGTCTGTAGAATGTAAACTGTTCCAGAACCCAGGGGACAAATGTCCAGATTGAGACTTGATGAGTAGCTTGTGATTTCCACTGCACTGTCCAGCGTGTGTTTTAAACTGGAATCATCTGCAGCTGTTTCCTGTGTCTCCTGTTTTCTATTAACTATAAATCCTCTCCCCCTCACTTTTATTTCCGTAATTTTGTGTGGCTTTATTATTTTATTTCTTAGGGAAATAAAGGACCAAGAGGAGCTAAAGGATTACCCGGCGAGCAGGGGCCTGCAGGAGACAGAGTAAGCCCTGATTATTCCGAGGATATATTGAGGTGTCCTATAGTGAACACAAATGAAGAAACAGTACTTAGACTACCAGTAGAGTGACGTGATTTATACCAGTGGAGGTGGGGAGGGGGTTGTAGATAACGATTTTATAGATGACTTGGCTGATGTGTACTAGATAAAATGCCTGTGTGAGTGTATTTTAAACAGACTAAACTGACGTGTAGAGAGTTGGAGGGAGCACATACTGCAGGGGTGAGGTGAAGTACAGCATACAGAAAAAATATTTCGGAATAAGTAATAAGTATTTACATGTAGTGGACATTATATAGGGCAAGGGCATACATGTTTAAAATGCAAATGAGCCAATGAGCTGTATACGAGCACAGTGTGTTTTGAGTTTTTGTTTTATTTTTACTATTTTAGAGTTCAGGTAGACTTTTATTGAAACATCAAGGCAAAATCTCTGCACATTTCTGCTTTGCCTTAATCATGCGTAATTAAATTTATATCATGATATTATATTGATGCTTCAATAAAGTCTAACTGAAATCTAAGGTGGTTGAGCCTCCACCTGAATTTGTCTTTGATTGACTACTTTGGATACAGGAGTAACAGGCCATCACCAACAAAGGATTTGAAGAGATTAGGAAGTGGAGGTTCTGGAGACCTAAGAGGAGTTAGCAATGTGGTATTTACAGAGAGGAATATATCCATAAGTGGTGTCACATTCTTTTCGTGTGGTGGGCCAGATTTTACATGGGCGGAACATAATGTGTGTGTACATTTATATATGCGTGTGCAATCTGATGTGTGTGTATCACATAGCTCACCAGCACTAAAAACCCTTAGTAATTTGCTTTATGACTGTGTATGACTGTATCACAGAACTCCACAGCAATAGTACTAACAGTAACATTCAGCATGTATAAGTTTAAAAAAGAGCTTCATAGCGATAAGTCTTGCTGTCATGTGCTATCTATATATCATAGAGCTCCACAATTCAGAGTAATGTGCTAAGTGTACGAGTGTATCACAGAGATTCACAACAATAAAACTCACAGTCATCTACAGTGTGTAGGAGTTTATCAAAGAGCAACACAACAATAAAACTTGCAGTAATGTCCTTTGCGCCACTGCAAAGATGATTGACCTACCAATCTATTTTGAAACAAATTAAATATTTTTGATAAATGTTTGCACTAGGCTAACTATGACAAATATGGTCCTAAGTGTTGAATAGACACTTTACAATAGGATCTCATAGGACTTATTTGGCCCTATGGTGGATGGCATAGGACAGTAGTTATGTACGTGTTTACAAGGAAACATTTTAAATGACGGGTTGAGAATGTATCAGTGAAAGAAAGAAGCAGGGCATTTACTCCTAGATGCAATGCCAGAAGAGATTTGAAACATCATTTAATTCCATTTATTAGGGAGAAGATGGACCTCCAGGAGCAGGGACAGATGGTTTCCCAGGATTTCAGGTGAGCTTCTGACACCCTAAATCCTTATATTTAATTAGCTATTCTTTACCAGACTGCTTGAGACATTCATTAACTTTCTTTATAATTGTATAAAAGTATTATTTTAGTTATTTGATAACTTTGTGGAGACATTGAGATATTAGGGGGGATTTTAAGTGCTTGAGAAGAGGCAATAAGCACACAAAATGCCCCCTTTTAAATTTTGTCTTCCCTGCCTTCTTCATTACCATCACACTATCTAATCACCCCTCCACCTATTTATAGCAGCCACCTCAAATTTAACTGACCAAGAGTCCTAACATGTCATTCTTCTATAATCATGTTATATACTTTATCTCAGTTTCTCTGTGTTAAACACTTAAGTCATGCCACTACATAGTCTTGACCAACGATGACCCACAGTACCTTTTTCTGAGATTGAGCCAAACAATGTATTTCTTAAAAGTAGAAATCCATCTAAGTGATAATTATCTCTATTTTTCAGGGATATCCTGGAGCTCGTGGAGAACCCGGATCTAATGTAAGTGTTTTATCTAGGACTATCTCCTTACATATTATGTGAAAAATGAGGTGGAATCCAAATTTCATCCAAATTTGCTTTCTTTTCTAGGGTACAAAGGGATATCCTGGACCAAAAGGAGATGAGGGAGAACCTGGAGAACCTGGTAATGATGTAAGTATGAGGACAGAATTTTAAGTCCTTGGTACAATCATACCACAATAGGTTGTTAGTGACAAGATATCTTTAACTGGTGATATATTGTTAATATATAATTACAGTGGAACAATAGCAATTGATCTTTTGTTTATCTATGATCTATTATTAAAGGAACACTATAGTCACCTAAATTACTTTAGCTAAATAAAGCAGTTTTAGTGTATAGATCATTCCCCTGCAATTTCACTGCTCAATTCACTGTCATTTAGGAGTTAAATCCCTTTGTTTCTGTTTATGCAGCCCTAGCCACACCTCCCCTGGCTATGATTGACAGAGCCTGCATGAAAAAAAACTGGTTTCACTTTCAAACAGATGTAATTTACCTTAAATAATTGTATCTCAATCTCTAAATTGAACTTTAATCACATACAGGAGGCTCTTGCAGGGTCTAGCAAGCTATTAACATAGCAGGGGATAAGAAAATCTTAATTAAACAGAACTTGCAATAAAGAAAGCCTAAATAGGGCTCTCTTTACAGGAAGTGTTTATGGAAGGCTGTGCAAGTCACATGCAGGGAGGTGTGACAAGGGTTCATAAACAAAAGGATTTAACTCCTAAATGGCAGAGGACTGAGCAGTGAGGCTGCAGGGGCATGTTCTATACACCAAAACTGCTTCATTAAAAGACCACTCTAGGCACCCAGACCACTTGAAGTGTTCTGGGTGCCAGGTCCTTCTAGGGTTAACCCATTTTTTAATAAACATAGCAGTTTCAGAGAAACTGCAATGTTTATTAATGGGTTAAGCCTTCCCCCAAAGCCTCTAGTGGCTGTCTCATTGACAGCCACTAGAGGCACTTGCGTGCTTCTCACTGTGATTTTCACAGTGAGAGCACGCCAGCGTCCATAGAAAAGCATTGTAAATGCTTTCCTATGCGACCGGCTGAATGCGCGTGCAGCTCTTGCCGCGCGTGCGCATTCAGCCCAGGAGGAGGAACGGAGGAGGAGAGAAGGAGGAGAGCTCTCTGCCCAGCGCTGGAAAAAGGTAAGTTTTTAACCCTTTTCCCCTTCCAGAGCCGGGCGGGAGGGGGACCCTGAGGGTGGGGGCACCCTCAGGGCACTATAGTGCCAGGAAAACGAGTATGTTTTCCTGGCACTATAGTGGTCCTTTAAGCTAAAGTTGTTCAGGTGACTATAGTGTCCCTTTAAAACATTATTTGAGTGTAAGGTTGATAATCATATTATTTACTTACTAGTGAGATAAGGAAAGAGATGAAGAGCCCTATGAGAGAAAGCCCAGGCAAGGGAAGAACACTAGATAGGCTTACACCTGTTGTTAAACTATAACTCTCATTATGAAGCATTCTACAACAATTGGGTTGATACCATTTGTCCATGTATAGTCTAGCCAGTGTCACAGAATAGCCAATCAACATAATTTCCTGTTGCAACTTTTATTTTTGAAAGTGGACTCAACCATGCCTCTTCTAGTCTCCATATATTGCCTGTGGATGCATGTTCAAGGTTTAAATTAGAACAGCATGTTCAAGTGCCACATTTATATCGTAAACACCCATAGGCATAAAGCTTATAGGCACTCAACATGCCTGAAATGATGTTAAAATATAAATTTAAAAGGCTTGTGGGACAAAGGAAAAAACATTATCACAAAAACATTGTGGAGATAGGCAAGGTTTTGCTGATGGACCTGTAATGAATGGGTGGGATTACAGACTTATTCCAACATCACTAAATAAATGTGCTGTATTTCCACTTTAACAAAGTGTCCAGGCTTTCTTTTTGGAAACCTGACTCCTTACATCAGGCAAACAGATCATAAAGTTCCTCAACATTGCTTCATCATAACACTTACTACAAACTATACAACCTTTCGCAAAAGGTGACCTGTTCCACCACTAAGACTGCTTTATTTTTTCCAGTAGTATATAAGGAGAATATAGAGAGTGGGTAATAGTCATTAATCTACTACTTTGTGGCATTTACCATATATTGGATTTCAGAACATGAGAACACAATATATGCCTACAAGAGAAAAGAAATGTGTGCATTCCGGAACAAATGTAGACATAGTGTACTATCCTTACAGCTTGCACTCATCACAATTCTCTCCAGACTATATAATATAAATTAGCATGAAGTAGTTAGAGATGTTCTGCCTGTCAGTAGCTTATATACATGCATACATCATATAGTCAGTGAAACTGAAGGATTAGTAACTGTTAGGTTTTGTTTCTTGTTGCAGAATCTCACTCCTGGCCCAGATGGGGCCAAGGGAGCAAAAGGCTACAGAGGTTCAGAGGGACCACCGGTAAGTTACTCAGAGCACGTCTTAGCAGAGTCCCAAATTGCCATATTCGGATTCTGTGTGATAACCCAGCTTTATAAGGAAAGCAAGTTGAAGTCTGTCTAAACATGGGTTTGCTCAGCATAACACAGCATGACTGCCAGTAGCTAAGATTTCTGCCCAGTCTCTCTTGGGATAATCCTGAAAAAAATCTGTCTCATACTGTCTTACGCTTATATTCTCCTTAACTCACTGTGTGCTTGTCTGCTTTATATCACCCATCAAGACATTAATTGTTCTTTCTGTTGTCATTGTCACTGCATTTACAGACAGGTTATATTCTCTTTTAGGGACCTCCAGGACCCCTAGGACCTCCAGGCCCAGATGTGAGTCACATTTTATTTGTGTTGGCATAGTGTGCTTAGTGATCATCAACATATATATGAACAAACTAGCTATCCCCTGATGTGTGATTGTGAGAGATTGTCGTGGAAAGTTGACATTGTGTATCTAACCCCGTTTCTCTTGGGTCGGAAGCAGAATCCCATTCTTCTGCTGCCAAAGAACATGTAAACAACAAATCTAATATTTTTCGTGTTTATGGTGTTTACATTCTTGTGGTCAGATAAACAATTTGTTCTGCTGTAAACATTTGTTTGGTTGCTTTCGCTTATGATTTGATAACAGTGAATGTTTTTTTTTTGCTTTCAGGAGTGTGAGATCCTGGACATTATAATGAAAATGTGTTGTGAGTGCCAGTCAATTTCTATATTTATGTCTATCTATATATATGGGAACATGAGTGACAAAATATACATTATGAGAACTAATTTACATTAAATGGCCTTAATAAACTGTAATACAAAGAGGCAGAAGTTATCAATGGCCCTGATTGCATGGATAGTCAAAACAAACAAGATTATTGTAATGAATGAACTTTTGAATTGTAAATAATAATTATATACTGAACTAGAATAACTGCACATTATGAATGAGTGACTATACACAAGAGAATGATATAATATAGTAAGACAATTTGATTGGTTACTTGACATTTTCTAGCTGTTCTTCCATTCACTAGTTCACAGATTTAAGCAGGGCTTAAACTTTTTCACGTTTTGCTAATCTGTACCCAGAATAATCAATCACACCTTCCTCAATGTAAATGTGCTTGACATATTTTTAATTAAATGCACATTAAATATTTTTTATTAAATACACATAATGATACTTTCATTTTAATTATATTAGATAGTGAGCTAATTTTTCCTTTCTTGTATTGCAGCTTGCTGTGGTAAGTATGAAGTCAACCCTTCAACCATCTGTCATCATTCACTCATTCCACTTTCTACATTTCCCTATTATAATTCACAATTCCATCTCCTTTAAACCGTTTTTTTAAACCTGCCCATAAGTTTCCATCTTTATATTTTCTTCGTATTAAGTCCACTTTTTTATCCACTGCTCAAACAATATGCTCTATTCCCAAATTCCACTACAAGACACTGAATTGCAAGTTGGATATTGAACTTGCTACCTCCGATTACTTGCAGTGCTACATTGCTGCATTAGATATGACCAAGCTAAAAGATGGAATTATGTTGGCAAAATGTTATCTAAATTTCTTGCTCAGCCCTATGCTTCTTCATCAGTCATTTTATCAGTACTAAAGTATGTGTTTGCACGTGTTTATGTGTGTGTTTAAATGAGCTAATGCCAGCTCTTTATCCATTTTTCTTCCCAGATTGCATCTGTGGTCCCATCGATGTACTGTTTGTGGTTGACAGTTCAGAGAGTATCGGTCAAACTAATTTCCAACTTGCTAAAGAATTTATTATAAAAGTTATTGATCGTTTAATACGAGATGAACATGTCAATGTAAGAATTCCTATATTCCTATTGAGTTATATCTTGAAGAAAACATTCTTACTGTGTCACATCATATTGGGGATAAGGAGACTACTAGTGTGTAAAATGTGATACATTTAAGTCAATCGTTGGGTATAAACAACATTTATTAGGGATTTTTTAATAACATGGAAAAATTAAGGTCTTCCAACTCTACCCATTATGCAAATGCCCACCGTGGTAGATTTAACAGACACCTCGCAGGAGAGAATAAGTTCTTCGTAAGCTACTTTCTTGTATCAAGATATCATGCACTAGCTGCTGAGCAAAGTAAGATGTGAGTATAGTACATTGTAATTATTTTTCAGAGGAAAACTGTGTGGAAAAAATAGATACAAGGTTTTTTTTTTCATTTCATAAACGAGTAGTGATATAACTTCTGCTTCTATCCTATGTTTGGCCAACTATGCTCCACTCTACTGCCTGAGAGAAGATCCAGGTGGTAAGGAAGAACGGAATGATAGAAACATATATATATATATATATATATATATATATTTTTTTTTTATAATATATATTTTTAACCACTACTAAAACAGTGAAACATTTTGTAAAAAATCCGTTCACTTTGTATAATAGCAAAAGTCTAACTTTTGTCAAACTGCAAACTTGTGCCATTAAAGAAAAACTCCAAACAACTTTGGATTCTTACTCTACCATGCCCAGGGTTTTATATAGCATTTCTGTGTATTTCTTTTTATGGATCATAGGTCTACCCATTTCTATGGGGTAGGCAGTCCTGTTCATCACTGCATGAAATCATTGGCTTACAGAGAGAGTCTTGCTATAACTGATTTTATCTGAATATGCAAAAAAGTCAAATTGAGCCAAGCTTGTTGAGTTCAGTTCTGATGCAAACCAATCAAAATGTTCACATGTGCATAGATTAACTTTTGCTGATAGGTTTGCTCACTTCCCTATGCTAGCAGTAGAAAGGAATATGCATTTTTAAAGTATTTCTGGAGGAGGAATAACTCCATCAGATCAGCTTATTAAAAATGGAAGTGAAATGCGTCAAATAGGGTTATCAAGTTCTATCCTTATATAAGGATAGAATTGTTCTCTTGCTAGTTCAGCAACCTCTGTATGTGTGACAGCTTTTAGAAAATGTCTTTATCGGTAAGATTGGGAGATCGCTATGTCTGTGCAGCCCCCATATGAAAACTTCAAGATTTTGAACGACCCATAAAAATGACCAATGTCATTACGCAACAAGGGATGAAAACAAATAAAGTATAGGTTCCTTACTGCAATCATATATTTTCATCTCTGTAACATAAAAATGTTACTCAATGTCAATGTATTTTTCATATGTAGCCACAAAGCATGAGATTTTCATATGTGTCCTGCAAAAACCCTACAGTAAGCTGACAACATACTGCACAGACATCGGTAATAGCAATCTTGTGTTTGTATCTCAAGCAATGACAGTAAATCTACATATCATCATGCCGTGGTTGTCCTGCTTTTGTGATACTGCACAAGGGGTGCTTTTTATACTCCCGTTGTTGGGCTGCAATGGAAATCCTCTTTACAACATTGAGAAAGTTCTATTTCATTTTCATAGTTTGAAGCGGATGACTCTCGGGTGGGTGTTGTGCAATACAGTCATGGAAACACTCAAGAAGCTGTTGCACTGAGAGATGCAAACATCCAAACCATTGGACAGCTGAAGGAGTAAGTACAACTCAAACCCATTGACAGTATTATATACATGATAATATAAATTATATAGCATAGTAAGCTGTTTATTGCACTTGAAGGATATCATTTGTTCATGCTAAGTAACAATTAAGATCACTGATCAAGAATGAAACATGTGTAGAATTTAAAATTTTGGTGCATTTGGTTATCATTTTAGAGTATTTGCCAAATTAACTGATTGATTGGAGAGAAAAATTCAAAGCTTTGAAATCCATGCACCCTTTCCCCAAACCAGAGATAAAGGTTGACTTTTCTACAGTAATGGGGAGAAATACATATTTTATGTTGTAGGGCAATACAGAATTTGAAGTGGATCGCAGGTGGAACATGGACTGGAGAAGCCCTGGCTTTCACTAAAGACAATCTACTGAACATGTTTTCTTCTAAAAAGAGAGTGGCACTTGTTCTGACAGATGGCCATTCTGATGTCTTGAGGGACAAGACTCCACTCAATACCCTTTGTGAAGTCACTCCGGTATGGGAACACTAGAATTTCACGTAGAATGCAAAGTATTCCTAATCTCATATGATACTCACACTATATATCTTTGTCTAAATATAGGTCATCTCTGTGGGAGTGAGTGACATTTTCCAGGCTGCTGCTAACCCAGACCAAATAGAGACAATTTCTTGTGGTGGGACAACATACAGTGGAGGTCTAACCTTGCAGAAGTCAAACTTTGCTGAGCTTCTAGATGATCATTTCCTGCAGAATGTAACTGCTCATATCTGCAAAGGTGAGAACCAAATTGGATGAAATGAAAGGACAACCAGACAAAACTACTTTTCAATTCACATGTTTTATCAGAGAGTCTAGTTTTCATGCAAAGATTCTCGGCAGTGCATTGTGATTACTTGGATTCATATAGTCTAATGTTCTAATTTTAAAGGAACACTCCACATGAAAATTAAAACCTAAATACATAAATAAATAAAATGTACAAAAATATATGTTTTGTAGATAAACCCCAATGAAAACATGAATGCATTTAGTTATGCATGTTGGCACAGGGGTGTAGTTTAAACAGCTTGCAAAAGCTGTAGTTCTTCTGCCTGTTGCCTTTGTAAGCCCTCAGTCTGTGATGGGGAAATAGCCAATCAAAGATTTCTCATTGCAAAACCTCTGATTCTAAGCCACGAGTGTGCCCTCGCAAGGAGAACTAGGGAAGAAGCTGCAGGTGGGGAGGAGGACTCAGGAGTCACAAAAAAACGGTAGGATTGAGCCCAGTGGCCTCACAGGCTCACTGGCACCAGTAGGAGAATATAGGCTTGTTCTAACAGAATGTTCCTATCTCTTCTGTTCTCAGGGGAACTAATGGAAGTAGGAGGAAAACCTCTCTCGCTGTCTGATTAACAGCAAGGGATGTGTTTCTTTATTGATTTATAAAAGTGCTGATTTCTCCTTTAATGTATAAAATTCTGAGGTTTGAGCAAAGTTAATTAAAAACAAGAACATGGGCTGATTAAAACATTATATCAGTTAGTTAAGACAGTTAACATACTTGGTTAAAGAGTGTTTAGATATCAAATTATTGACCAAACAGACGTTGGCGTCATGGACATGTAGACATCAGCAGAAGAAGCACTATCAAATAATCATAGTATAGACCAGAAGGCTAACACCAAGCATTGATAGTGACCTGTTCTATCACCTAATTTCTGATGTTTTAAATTCTGTTTTACAGAGAAGAAGTGCCCAGATTATACTTGCCCCAGTAAGTATGCAACGTTTGACTATATTATCTGTAATCCAAAGGCAGAATTACTTACCAAACTATTAATGAAGATTCTGTAGTAAACCAATCTGGATTCCCATCACTAATTCACAGTCAGTGCTTGGAGATCCATAACATCTGCTATTTAAACATTGAATATACTATTCTGTGCACACCAAAACCTGGCCCATTATGGGTGGATATATGCATTACTTTGTGTATCATAAGTATATTCTTTTCTAGTTAATTCTCTTCAAGCTCTGTTGACAATTATGGTCCGCTGCAAGCTGAAGATATACACTGTTTAAAAAAAAAAAAAAATCAATAAAGTGTCAGGTTTGAGGGCCTTTCATTAGAACCCTGGTTTTAGCTGGGGACACCCTAGGATACAACCACTACAAAGGAAGGCCTGAAACGTAACAGGCTGTGACTAAAAGCACTTGGAAAAACTTCATAGCTGATAAAGAAACAGAAAAAAGAGGTAGATCTGATTTTAGGAAGTAATGGTATCATAGCCATATATTCACTTTGGGACAGGAAGATCTAAACATGGTCATTGCCAGGGATTTTGCAAGGAACAAGGAATGGTCAAAGTAGATAGTGAGTAGATATAGGATGAGGAAGTTACAATATAGAATATTCCATTGAAGAATCTTTCTTATTTCTGATCTTCATCTACATGGGCTTCAGAACATCTGAGCATTACCCAGAGCTGCGAATGGGGATTACATGATTGGGTTTAGTTAAGGTGTACTAGTAGTCACTTGTTTTGTAGTGCCAAATATAGGCATTGTATTCAAACTGATGCCTATTTTCTGGATCAGAAACCACCATGTGAATCCAATGATGAGTTTATCTTACTAAAAACTTTTTAGGTGAACGTTAAAATGAATTGTGCCATAATCTTTATTCCTCCATTCACGGAACAATAATGAATCTTTGTAAAAAAATAAATAAAAAAGGAGAGGTTTTTTAGTTCTAGCATGTACATTTAAAAAAAAAAAAAGACTAAGGCCTTGATTTCATTTGCTTGGATCACCTTTCCAAATGAACAAATTCTGTGAAAGTGAACATGTCATGATATAGGTTTGCAGTTTTCTAACCATCTGACTTAGCTTATGTTACACAATTAAGTGTTTTTCCACATAATACTATGAATAATGTTTTTAATTTATTTCCATAACACCTGTCTCCTTCTCAGAGCATCAATTATGCTTTCAGTAGGTGTTACCCTACACATATCCTGCATAACTCTGTTTGGGAAGCACAGATAAGCATCTCATAACAAGTTAAAAATCCCAAAAACTTTATGGTGGCTTAGTGTAAATAAATGCTATATGTTTTCTTTCCATTCTCAGATTGTCTGTCCAAAACTGCTGCAATAAATTATTCTGGCTGTTTCTCTCCCTGAAGGTGCTGCTCTCACACAGAGTATGCCCTTTCTCTCTACTTCCCATTGCTCTCCCTTGGGCTGAATTCAAGCAGGATAGATGCACAGGGGAGTGTTTCCCTGATAGCAGATATGCAGAGCACAGCTTTCTTATCTCTGTGCTGACTGGCAGTGAACGTGTTAGTAGGGGGGAAGGGTTGTTTTTTAACCTCTGAGTTTAGAGAACTCTATTAGAGTTCTATTAGAGACCTCTATTTCTGTTAACACAATACATAGATGCAAGGTAATTATTTTCATTTAAGTTTAAGTTGTATTTGTCATGACAGGTACCTTTTAGTGGTGACTTCTGTAAGTAAATGTTTTGAAAAGTTTGCTAACAGAGAGCGATCATTGGATATGATGATCAAAACAAATAAAATAAAGGTCAAAGTTAGATGATGTCATGATTCCATATGTACATATCAGAGGAACTTAATCATGTGCATGAGATTCCCACATAATGATGTGATTAGGACCTATTTATTGCCATGCAATAATACATTTATTTTTTATCTCCATAGTTGAATTTAGTGTTCCAGCTGATATCACACTGCTCGTGGACAGTTCTGCTAGTGTAGGAAGCCAGAACTTTCAGACTACCAAGAGCTTTATAAAGCGTTTGGCACAACGTTTCCTGGAAGCTAAAAGTCCGTCATTTGATGCTGTACGTCTTTCTGTGGTGCAGTACAGTGGGACTGCCCAACAGAAGGTTGAAGTACAATTCCTGGCCAATTACACTGAGGTGGTTGATGCAGTGGATAAAATGGAATTCCTGAATGGTGCCACAGATGTAGGAGCTGCTTTGCGGACCGTAACAGAGCTTTATCGTGAAGATTCCCTACCAACATCAAGCAAGAAGCTACTGCTGTTCTCTGATGGAAATACAATTTCAGAAGGAACACTTCAGGAAGCAGTCCGGGACGCACAGGCTGCTGGTATCGAAATCTCTGTACTGTCTTTGGGAAACCGACCAAACGAGGCTAACCTGAAGATACTGCTAACAGGTGCTCCTGTCCCTGATCGTGAGCTCTTCCGTGTCCCTGATTATCCTTCTCTGCTTCGGGGCGTTCTGTACCAGACCATCACCCGCAGAGTTTCCCTCAATCCCAAACAATAAGGGCACAGAGTAAACCTCCCTTCTCCTGACAGCACACAAAGCCTGAGATTGTACATCTCAGAATTCCACCGATGCAGTGTGCTGAGATTATAGTCAAGGAAATCTAACCTTACTCTTTGACTGTAATCCCATCCCAATCCCTGCAGTCCCTCAAAATCTTTCTTTGATCCACAAATGTATTCTACGGTACATCGTGTATAGAGATGATCTGTACTGAAATCACCTTTCATCTCAAATTTTTCTAATGACTTTTTAAAATGGCCGATGTGAGGAATTATAAATTAAATTCATGTTTTAGTGATGCTGAACACCCATTTTCCACAGTATTCACCCTGATTTGGGAGGTTACATTAATAATACATTGCAGTTATCAGAATGCTAATTTAGCATTCTCTACCTTTAGAATTAAAAGTTCCCAAGAGGAGTGCGTTTTGTATTTCCTTCTCAAACTTTGTTGTGTGTATTTTTTTTAATGAATAAACACACATGCTTGTGCCTTGTTAAAAACTAGTTAAGGATAGCAACCACTGTGCCATTTGATGCCCGTTATTTTATTGATAATATTTTAGACATCACCATACCATCGACCATTTTCTTTCTTCTGCCATTATTTCTAGAAATGGGGAGATGAGAATAGAGGGGTTTTGTTGTAAGTGTGAAAAATATCAATGATTTGAGGTTATGTTCATTCCAATGAGGTCAAAGTAGGTGCTGCAGGCAAATAAAAACTACCGGATTTACCTAATAGTGTATCTTGTCAGATATTCTTTGTTTGCCGACTGACATACAGAATTAGAGCTGGGAATATTGGGAACATTTCTAGGAAACAAAACAAATCTATCTTATCTTGAAACATTTCTACAGATGGTTTGTAAATTGTATTACTGTTTTCTTTCTTTTATTTTTTTTTAATTTTTTTTTAATGCATTTGTCTGTAAAAGGGCCTAATGGCCCACGTGGAAATATCATTTTAGTTTTTCTTTGTCTTTGGTATTTTTTGGTGAAATACTTTTACATGAAATTAAGGGGATTTACTTAATCCAACAGGGACCCTCATTATTCCCTTACAAATTTCCTACAGTAAAGAGAAGTTAATTTTATGGGCAGTGTAGTGCAGTCGAAAGTTGGGTGTTTACAGAAATCTTTAACATACATATGCAGAAAGACAACAAGTGTGAGATGTGAGAAGCACCCTAATACTGCGAAGATTCAACATGAGTGTTTTTCATTTTATTGGTGCTACATTCAGAGAAAGTGATATCCTATAACCCAGTATATCTGTGTGTATGGGTGGTATCTGTTATTTGCATATTGTTCCACTGGTGCTGGATGGGTTATGTGGAAATGAAATAAACCGCTCTTTTAATTGGGGTCTTGGAAACCCCCCCCCCCCCACCCCCCATGTCATGCAACCTCTAGTCACTTTATCTCTGAATAAAGGGTTTTTCCACCACTGAGTCTGTGTTGTTAATCAGTAAAAACATAACTTTAACTGTAATCAAAGAGCATATTTTTTTTATTTTTCTATTTGTGCTGTTCCACAGGTTCAGATTACCATAAGAGCTATTGGAGCTGAAGCTCCAGGCCCACATTCTTTTAAGCACAAGAGAAAAAAACTAATTCATGTTTTGAAGCTCATCTAGCACTAGTAGATACTTGATTGGATCTGGTAATAAATAATTAGGCAAACTGTTATACCGGTATATACTGTTATATTTTCATCATTGAGGTCAGTGAGCAACTTTAAATAAATTACATTAATATGAGGTTATCTGAAGTCAGGTAATAAATGAGCTTGACCAAAAACACTTTTAAAAAGGACCAGTGTTCTCTAGATATGGACATCTTTACTAGTTAATGACAGTTGTGAACAGAATGGAATATCTGCATATTTCTACATATAAATATGCCTTTAGGAAATTAATACCAACACATAAAACCAACGAGACATGCTAGAAGGGTCAGTGATATCATAAAAAAATAATATATGAAAGTGACATCGTTCAGGGTATTGTGTAAAAAGGCAACGAGGTGGACTAAACTAAAAAATGACAAACAAATGACAGAATTTTTTTTTTTTAAATATTAATGGCAAAATGTAAGACCAAAACAGTTGGTACATTAATATATATATATATATATATATATATATATATATATATATATATATATCAACAACATCTTCTGCCATGCTGTACAATAGATAAAATAAGCCATTTAATTATAACAAAACATGTATGACATCCAGGAACAGTAGGTGGCCAGAGACCTGCCCAAACGAGTTTACAATCTAAAAGGATGAGGTTACAAATCCACAGAGTGGAACTGAAAGGATGGGAAGAGTGTTTGGGAGGAGGGATCACAGTAGATGGGAGATGGCAGAGGGAGGTTGTAAGGGATGAGGAGTTAATTGGAGAGCTTAATTACTTCTCGAAAGAAGTGTGTTTTTATGGACTTTTGAAGGACCAATAAGATGGGAAGTGTTGGATGTGGCTTGTGAGAGCATTCCAGTGGTGCAGCTCTGGAGAGGTCCTGCAAATTAGAGTCTGTGGTGTGGGTTTGAGAACAGTATGGTAACAGGTCATTTGTGGAGCAAAGAGGCCAGGCTGGAACATATCTCTGAATGAGGGAGGAAATATAAGCATGGAAACAGTAGTGGAGAGGTTTGTAGTTAGGCTCAAGAATCGAATCCTACATGAAACATCAAGATAGTTTAGAGACTGACAGAGCGGTGAGGTTTGAAAGCTACAAGATGTAAGCAGTCTGGTAGAGGTGTTCTTTATGGACTGTAGAGGGGCAACCTGGGTGTTTTTTTAAGCCAATAGGTAGCTGATTACAATAATCAAGGCAGGAAACAATGAGAGCATGGACAAGCATTCTAGTTGCATCCTGAGTGAGAAAAAGGTAATTGTGAGAATAGTTTTTTAAAGTGAAAGTGACAGAATTTGGTGATAGATTTTATGTAAGAGGTGGAGGAAAGGACAGAGTTAGAGAGCACACCATGACAATGTGCCTGCAGGGTAGAATTACAAAGAAATACTTTATTTAAATGGTATGTATTAAGGGAGAACGAATGGATGGGGAAATGCAAATTACTCTTACAGAAAAAAAAAGCTTTATATCACACACATGACTAGCAGAAATAGGAATAAAATAAATGTAAATAAGGCTAGATGGCAATCAGACAGTTTGACACGAAGTTTAGTTTAGTAATCAGAGACAGATATATCCTCTCTCTTGCACCAAGGCCAGTTTCCATAATGCACTCCTCCGTCAGCACTTTATATATAAATACAGTATTTGCCAGTCATTGATGAGCAGCAAGGGATTGAGGATAATCATGCAAGAGTAGCTGAAAAGTATAAGGTGTAACTGGTGGGATAGGGAGGAGTGAAATGGCAGGGGAGGGAACTTGGGTGGGTATATCAGGAGAACGGGAAAGAAGGGCTCCCATCATGCTATTCTTTCCATCTTTAGCCTACCACCACTCCAATTCCTCCCTCTCTCTGTCCTCCCGTCACTCAAATCCATCCCTCCCTCCCTCCCTCCCTGTCCTTATATCACTCCTTACCACCCCTTCCTATTCAACCATCATTCCAATCCACCCATATCTATTCTTCCCTCCCTGCTCTTCCATTATTTAATTTCCTCCCATGTTCCCATCACTTAAATCTGTCCCTCTCTATCCCCATCACTCTAATCTGCCCTTATGCTTTCATTCCTCTCTATCCTCCACCCACTTGGATAGACATAATGGGAGAATAGGGATTTTAGCTGTACTGCAGTTGCTATCACTTTATTCACAGCTCAACTCCCAATTTTGTGAACCGGCCAATGGGCAACCATTGGCAGAGCTGCAGCTCAACTCTCTCCAGGTAGGAGAAAGATTTTTCCCACATGTGCATTGAGCATGCGTACACTGCACGCAAAATAAGAAAAAAAGTGAAATTTCCACCTTTGTTATGTCTGAACCAAGGAAGAGGGCCCTTGTGCGAAAATTACCCTGCCCTCCCCGTATCTCATCTCCCCCAGCACCTCCCTGTGTCTCATCTCACTTCAGCACCTCTATGTGTCTCATTCTCCCCCAGCCCCTCCATGTGTCTTATTCTCCTCCCGCAGCCCCTTCATGTGTCTTATCCCCCCAGCCCCTCCACGTTTCACTTTCCGCCATCCCCTCCTGTACCTGCTCATCTCCATGTAGTGTGGGCGAGCGGACCACAGTACCCGGTCTGACAGGAAGTTCTTGCTTGTTGCTCTCTGTTTGGCCATGCTTCATGAAGTGACTGGCAGGACGGGGAGCACTGTGCTGTGCCCTCCCGTCCTGCCTTTCACCCGGGTGAGTGTGCCTCGAGCTCATTTGGCCATGCAACAGCCAAGAAATTATGTCGGCTCACTGGTCTTGCTCTGTGCAAGACCAGGGGTTGATAGGGCATCCAGACCCACTGGAATGACAGGCCCGCTCACAGCTGCGACCCCTGCAACTATGGTAGTACTGCCACTGTAAGAGATAAAATTCAGGAATTAATTTTTAACAACAAGTTCATGTAATGTTATTACAAGGAATCAATATGGTTTGATGAAGGAGAGATCATGTCAAATGAATGTAAAGAGATTGTGTAGTAAAAAAAATGACCCCATAACATTTAATGCCTTATATACAACTGTGGAGAACGTCAGGGAAAATTTCATTTTCCTTAATCTGCTTATTAATGATTTAACATAGGGCATTATAAGTCACATGGTCCAATTTGTAGATGATAAAAACTAGGTAAGATAATAACAGTATGAGTAGCATGGTACTATTTGCTGGAGGAATAAATTAGTGTATTATTATTATTATTATTATTATTATGATGACGAATTAGTCAACTGGATTTGAAAGTGGCAGATGAGATTCAGTATAAATAAAAGCAGGGTTTTGCATTTTCAAATGAGTAATAAACATGCGATATATAGTATAAATGGGGGTGAGTTTATGATATTATTAAATAAAGACAGAC